TATAAACTCAAACAAAAAATAGTAAAAACAATCAATACTTCATAGATCAATAGATCATACTAACATAAATTAAACAATTTAATAACATCTTTTCCTAGAATCTTCTATACACTTTGTTCAAACAAAAGTAAAATAAATTAAAGTTGGTTTCACCATTATTGAAATAGCATATTACTTGAAGAGAATGGAGAAGCTTTTTTGAAGAATATTTGTGCTGCTCTTTTCATCATCACTTACATCATTGGACAAATCTTGTAAGGTTAATGTTTTTGCACTTATTAAATTGCCAGGTAACATAGTTTTCACGCTTTTTGCGCGGATGCAATTCCCATGGAAGGAAGCTACAACTATCAAATAATCTAGAAACTCATCATTGACCGTGCAATCCTGGAGGTAGTGTTAAAAAATGCGGTAAATTTGCGGCAATTTATGTGATGTTATCATCCGGTCATAGAAATGGTAAAATTGGATTGAAAGGTAAAAAAGCCTAAACCATCAAAGAAATTGACAGTAAAATGTTAAATGAGATTAAAGGAACTGTAATATGTAGTATAAGGACTTTATTAAGTAATTTAGGGATAAAAAAATTATAAATTAATTATGTTGAGTAATTTAGGGATAAGTAATTTGTCAATTAATTATACATAATCATGCAATAATTATGCGAGAATAAATTATAAATATGTAAAACGATCATTTCAAGATTAAAAATGAAAAATATCACTGAATTCTCTCTCAACTTTTTTTTTTAGGTCTTATACTCTGAAACTTTTTTTTTTTTAAGTCTCATGCTCTGCTATTTTATGATCTAATCTCTTTCTCTTTCCATCATTATCCGTTTTATCACAATTTACTCTTTGAATTGAAAACCTTGCAACATTAATCTAACAATTTACAAGGAGGAAAAGTATCATTGCAGCAAAACCATCGGCCATGGCTTGTCTCTTGGAACGGGGGTCCAGCAAAGCTCATATTTCTTGGCCAAACCCTTGGACGCCGTTGCCAAAAAAGGACAAGGAAACAAAGGGTCCCCCTTCATTATTTACCACCAAATTACATATTTATTTATATGCAGCATCAGTTCAGTTCCCAGATGAACAGTAAAGCCTTTTCCTTTTATGTGTCCTTTCGAATTGTCACCAGCATCAGTTTAACGTGGAGTTGCAAAAGATAATATAAGAAAATAGATAACTAGTTCATAGCTTTGCTATAAAACAAATTTCAATAAATTATTAGAACACCATGCTGCTGTCCGCCCACGTAGTTTTTCTTATGCACATGTGACCAAAATCGATTATTGTTATTGTAGATTCAGGAGGCCTCTAAATTGTTCCAAAAGTACTCGTGAAAACTTGCTTTAAGCTAGCTTTCTCAAATGTAGCAATGGACGATCTCAGGGAAAGAGCATCAAGTTGCTTGTTTGGGATTTAAAAAGAGATTAAGAATAGCATGAGATCCACATTCAGGATAGTTTAATTGTTTAATTAGAGTCCATTAACTACAAATTCAGCAACTTATGTATAACCTATTCTGTAATTCTGTGCAAAGTTGTTGCAAGTTTGCAATATAAAAGATTGTTCAAACAGGCGTGCCTAGAAATAAACATATTGGCCATCATTATCCAAAGTGGATCATACTAATTTCATTTTTCAAGAACTTCACAGAATTTATTAGTCAAGTAGACAAATATTGGGTGTTTTTAAACTCATCATCCGATGCTTGGGGTCAAAAGTAAGTCACATGTCCTAATATTTTCAGCAAACTAGGGCTTTTTCTTACGGGAAAGTTAGTTATTTATTACAATTCATGGAGGTCATGATGTGTGTGATCGTCCTCATGCATGTGTAGCGCATGAGAGAGAGAAGACAAGATCAAGACTTGTTTGAAAGGATACTTAATAAAAGTGAAGACAAGACAGTTAATGAACTTCCTCCGTCGGCAAAACTAATTGCAATAGTGAATGACTGTGTCTTTTGTGTGTGCTTGTACAAGAAGAAGACCCATTTGGCCTAAACGATAACTTTATTAAAGGAACGAATAGACAGCCTTTGTCTGGACTTTCTTACAAATTTATAGGGACAGAACTCTAACAACCTACCAAATTCAGAGATTCATTTTCTTATGTAAATTTGTTATGTACATGAGAACAAGAGCTAAAATTTCCCCTGCAAGCTCCCAAGCTCAGGAGCTCAGGGTCAAGTTGACCCCGCAGATGATCCACTGCACATTATTGAGATGATGACTGATTCATTGAAATATGTTCTAAACTTTTCATGAGTTGGAACTCACTTGGCTGTCTTTTGCCTACTTGTCGTAAAAGACGACCCTTAAGATTATGGAAGGGCTGATTTATACATTAATGCATGAAATTTCAAACGATATTAATGGTGTATAAAAAGAAAGAAGGTGACAATGGAATTCTTGGTTTTAGACAATAAATTTAGGGTCCCGATCGGGGCTACATGCATGCACAGGCAAATATCAGTTCGTACTACGGAGTGACTTGCTAGATAACCATTGAGAGATTCCCCCCAAATAAGGAAAAAGATCCTTAAGACACAAATATTTTTTATTAATTATTTTGAGTTACCGGAAACCCTGTGTGATTAAGGCTAATATCATTACTATATATATATATATATATATATATATACACATATATACATACACTTTGTTTCTTTTCACTGCTTAATGCTTATCGTAGCATCAGACAAATATCTAAAAGAACAAAAAAGACAACTAAATACTGGTAATGGCTTCCTGGTTTTGGTCCTGTTTATTTATAGAAATATAAATGCACATGGTCTAGCAGAAGACATTGAGCAAATAAACAAGCCTTGATAGGTGATAATGTTGGTTTGGTGCTCAAAAATCTTACTCTGTAACTTTAAAAAATTAAAAAAAGAATACTAGAAATCCTTCATTAATATCCATGTCTGCAATCTTGAATAGCAGTGGCTAGTTTCCAGAATCCAAGGTCAAGGCACGACATATTCGGTATATCTTCTATAATTAAGGAGAATATCAGAAATTTGGATCCTTCTTCTCTCCTATAAACTATTCAAGGTCCGTTTCTTGTGCACATATCCTCATTTTGATATCCAGCCCCCTAGTCCAACCTTCAAGGCTTAAGCAGCATCTTATGACTTGGGCCATTTGACCCATATAATTTATTTTGTGGAAAAGATGTTGCAGAATTCTTAGTACTGCATTCAATAAATCCTATCAACTTTTGACTGTGAATGATTTAGATTTAGCAACGTACCACATTTGTTATATATTGTTTGTTTTATTCAAGGATCCAAATAAGACCAAATGTGTACTCCTTTTCTTTTTTCCATTGAATATTATGAATTAATTTTTTGGGTAATTCCAACAAATTGTAAGGTAAAAAGAATACTACTCTACCGTCTGTATGTTAACTCATTGACAAGCAATCCTGTTTATTTTCTATCTTGATGGACCCATGTTTAATGGTTCCAAAAATTGGATTCCAGGACCTGGATGGAGCCAATGGTGGGCTGGTGAAAATTGGTCCAAGGCTCTTGGTGATTTGGCAATGGACTGAGTTACCTTTCTGATTTCCAATATAAGGTTAATACATCCAAAGCCAATTTCTAATTCATTAGTGGGCTTTGTTCCTCTATGCGCCAGATAATCTAGAGTAGACAGTTAAAAGAAAGAAGTCTATTCATTGAGATGAAACAAATGCAGGCCCATACCTGATACAGTCCTCAAAACCCACCATGATTGCTTTACCTGCCCCTTTCCCTCCAAAACCACTTCTGCTCTGTTTTTTCTTTCTCCGTTCTACGACAAAACCAAGAAAGTGACCAACAAATCACTCACCGCCCTGAGTATCCTCCGCCATTCACCATAGACATCATTTCCTGCAACGATGGAAAAACCCTTCTATATTTTTTGTCGCAAGAAATCCACCTCTCTCGCTTTCAAAGACTACTATGATAACTAGTTCAACACTCTCACGAACACCCTCCTCCCCCTCCTTCATCAATTCCTCTCTTCCCGCTTAACCACTCTCCTACCCTTTCATCGTGATCTCCTCCTTCAACACGTCCTCTCCTACTACGACTTCCTCGACATCGCAGTCTCCAATGATGTTTCTCAGATTCTTTTCCCTTCTTGGCCCAACTCCCTCGAAATCCATTTCTTTTTTCTTGGTGATCTCCACCCTTATGTTTTCACCAACCTTCTTCGTTCATTCATCGATGCACCCAACAACGAAGAAGACGTTGAAATCGATAGTTACAATGATCCTGCTAAGGGTTCACTTCATGAAAATTTGGAGTGCCTTGGTAAACCCTGACTGGTTTTAACGGCCTGGATGAATCCACCCGAGAACTTGATTGTAAGAATTGAGCAGATTAAATGTGGCTTAAGGCTAATGGTTCCTGCACTTGTTTCTAGAGTAAAGAAAGTTCAGGGAACTTTTATGCGGAGGGTTGCAGAGAAATGGGCTGCATGTGAGGGAAAGAAAAAGGCCCTGCTGGAGGCAGTGAAGGTAGAAAATAGAAATGGAAGAAATGTAGTTTCAGATTTCAAGCCACTTAAGATCTTAATGTTAATTCTTTTAGGGGCCAAGATCTTGATAGTAAAAAAAAAACAAAAATTGTAGAGTTTACAAGTTGTTCAATAATCAAAATTGTTTGCAAAGAAGTTTAAAATTCATTTGAAAGTAAATGATACGGATGTCCACTTCCAAATTTCAGTCCTACTAATAATATTCTCTGATGAAATTGTACTAAATCAAATTAATTGCCTATAATGTATATTTTAATTAGTAATGCTCTCTTAGACGCCCTTTATCCTCAACAAAACTAAAGAACCAATGTGGCTACTGGCTAATGATATTGCAATGGGGTTGTTGACTCAACTTAAAATTTCAACTTCTGACCTGCCACTTGGCAAAATCCTCTTTTCTCTTCCTTACTTTGACCAATCATGAGATCGACTTTTATAATCATGGCCCAATGCAATAATACCTGTTTCTTAAATAAAACGCTACTGCCACTTGAAAGTTGAAAGGAAAAAAGGGGAAAAAAAATAAACCCACTGATGGCCTAAAACGTCGCCGCTTCGTATGGGGAGATTGAATACCCGGTGCAGTCGGTTGTTCTTATTCTACCGACAATGCTGGATCAAAGAAAGAAAACACCAAGCACTGTTAACAGATACAGTTTAAAAATAAGAAGAAAAAGTGAAAAACAGACAGAATAAACAATTACTACTGTCATTTAGTTAAAAACTGTTTTCATTTTTCATTTTTGGGTTTGGAAACTGAAGCTTTCTTCTCCACCAACAGAGAAAAAGTCGAAAAAAGCCGACTGTCATACAGAGTTTTATCAAAAAAAGAAAGAAAAAGAACATTACAGAATACAGAGATAAAAAAAAAAACCAAAACCCCCAAAAAATCCATCCTTAGCCACACATAAATGTTTTTATGAGACTTTCAATCTTTCAACATCTTGTTTCCATGGCCTACAAGACCCAAATCACCACAACTCATTTCTTCCTTCTATTGATCATCAATTCAGCATCTTCTCAACAAATCCTGAATACTGAATCAACATCAAACCAAGCAACAACAGCAGAATGCAACAACCGCTGGATCCACATCAGGAACCTCCCATCTAGATTCAATCTTGATCTACTTACTAACTGTTCTGAATACCCACTTTTTGATGACTTTTGTCCTTACTTAGCAAACCATGGGTTAGGACAAAAAACCCATATCAAATCTCGCAGTTGGTACCGAACTGATCCTTTGTTACTTGAACTAATTTTCCATAGAAGAATCCTGGAATACCCTTGTCTTACAAATGACCCTAATGTTGCAAATGCTGTCTTTCTTCCTTACTATGCTGCCATTGATTCTTTAAGGTATTTGTATGGTCCTGATGTCAATTCCAGCTTCCAACATGGGATGGAATTGTTTGAGTTTTTGCAATATGATGAACCTGGAATATGGGAACGGCATGTGGGTCATGATCATTTTTTGGTTATGGCTAGACCTGCTTGGGATTTCTCTCAGCCATTGGATAATGATCCTCCTATATGGGGCACTTCATTTCTTGAATTGCCTGAGTTTTACAACGTCACTGCTTTGGTTCCTGAGGGAAGAGCTTGGCCTTGGCAGGAGCATGCTGTGCCTTATCCTACGTCGTTTCATCCTTCGAATTTGGCATGCTTAGAGGCTTGGATTCAACGGGTGAAGACGTCCAGGAGGACTGCTTTAATGTTGTTTGCTGGTGGCGGAGGAATTAGTGCCACCCCGAATATCAGAAGGAGTATAAGGACCGAGTGTGAGAACAGTAGCATCAACAGCAACAGCAGCAGCTTCGACGTTCTTAAAAGTAATGGAATATACTCAAAGACATGTCATACAGTGGATTGCTCGAATGGGATATGTGAGCATGATCCTATACGGTACATGAGGCCTATGCTACAAGCAACCTTTTGTTTGCAGCCTCCAGGGGATACTCCATCTAGAAGGTCAACTTTTGATGCAATCACTGCAGGTTGTATACCAGTTTTCTTTGAAGAATTGTCAGCAAAAATGCAGTACGGTTGGCATTTGCCGGAGGAGAAGTATGCAGAGTTCTCAGTGTTTATACCAAAGGAGGAGGTGGTTTTTAAAGGTTTAAAGATTTTGGATGTGTTAATGGGGATACCAAGAAGAGAGGTTACGAGAATGAGGCAATCTGTTTTGGAGTTGATCCCTAGAGTTACGTATAGAAGGCATGGTAGTTCACTGGGATTGAGGACCACGAAGGATGCATTTGATATGGCAATAGATGGAACCCTACAAAGGATCAAAGATAAGATTGCTAACCTGATAGAAGGATGACCCAAATTCAATTTTATTTCTTGTCTGTATTTACTACTGGTATTTTTCTTGACATATTACTTTCCTTTTTTTTTCCTTTAAAACTTGCCACATCACTGCACAGCTGCAGACAGGATGTGATGTTTTCTATATCATTTATCATTATAAAACATTGAGCTTTTGCAAGCGTAATGATGAACTTGTTGATGTCCATATTATAGGCTGAACCATGATTTGCAGAAAATAATGGTACTGTTCTACAAAAGAACCAAAACAACGTTGCATTGTAGAAAAACTCATCTTCGTTCGGCTGTAACATATTTCTGCCCAAGTTTGACTCAAGGGAGTAAAAGGTATTGCTACTGCAGTGCTGATTATGTTGATATAGAGGACTGAAAATACAAAAGTTTAAAAGCTTGAGGAAAAAGAATAAAAATTTACAAGCAGTGCAATAACTAAAATATAACATATTTCGAACAAAACAAAATGGAGCTGATGGAGATTATGCCAGCGCAAACTCCCATTATATGCGTGCTTTTGGATCAGGAGGTAGGAACTGGAGAGCTGCTGTTCACAAGTATTTCTCTTCTGTTCTACACGGTTAACTTGGCAGCAGGGCAATTTTTCATCCCCATCTAATAACAGCAGAACCCCAAGTTAGACCAGCACCAAAACCTGCAGTTGCAATTGTTTGCCCCGACTTCACCTTTCCACTTCGAACAACTTCATCCAATGCCAAAGGAATGGATGCTGCACTTGTATTACCATAATTTGCCAAATTTGATATGACTTTTTCCTGTGGGAATTCTAAACGTGTTGCAACTGCATCAATAATCCTTTGGTTTGCCTGCATTAATTAAATTCCTGTTAGATTTCCCCCCCTCTTAATCGTTGGAAGATATTGTACTGAATACCATCCTCAGACATACAATATGTGAATTAGGCTGCAGTTGGTCACTTCTAATGGATAGGGCTTTACCCATTCCTTTCGATGAGCATGGGCAACATACACTAATCGAAACAACACCAGTGGTCTTTTTTCCCCAACTACCTTTCAACAACTTCCAATAGCATCTGATGCCCAAGGGCAACAGCCCGAAGAAATTGCATTCTTCCTACTCTCAAGATGTTTTAAAGTATTATCAGATGACCATCCAAGTCACTTTCTGTCAATGACCTTCTCGTACTCAAAGATATAACACCCATGAAGTTAGATTTAAAAATGAAAGAACAATACATCAGTGACAATAATGTCGATCAACAGTAATCACGGAAAAATCTATGCACCAATAATCTGGGAGCTCTCCTGGTTAGGCCAGCAGGGCATATTTTGACAAAAACAAAAGCTATACTATATGTGTACATCTAAATCATATACCTGATGGAGCAATAACCAGTCAATGCTGGATGCAGTGAGACCAGCTTTTTCCAAGGCAGACTCAATTGATTGTGGCACACATCGCACAGCAAAGCGAAAAACTTCTTTGCCATTCATCTGCACGCAGTTATAAGAGGACCTTTTTGGAGGGAAATCTAAAACTGAACCATTAGAACCCAACAGATCATTGGTTCTATCATCATTTATGGGAGCACCAAGATGTCTGCAACAGGGGTGACAGCTCAGTCAAATTCCTCAGAGGAAGCAATAGTGTTTGTTTACTTCCACAACAAGAGAAGCACATACCTTCCACCCTCACCATCACTATGCAAGTCAAAGCCTAATAAGCCATCCTCCTCAGCATCACAGGCCTACAGAATCATTTGTATCGCAAATGATATCATGTTTCATTGTAGAAGAAAGTAGATAGGTACATGGTAACTACTATTTCATAAGAAACCATTAAACTAGTAACACTTTAGGCAAATCAACAGATACAAAAGTTGGTATAACAACTACGACAATGTCGGAATTGGCTCTAAAATAGCTTAATAAAGCCGCTAATTTAATTATGGTTGAATTTTTTGCCTCAGAGTTTGAGGTAGAAAGAGTAGAGGAAAGAGATAGAAAATAGAAATTTAGATAGGAACCAGAAATAGACAGAAGCAATTAGGGAGGAAACAAAGGAAATTGGAAGAAACAAAAGAACCAGGGGGAGAAAACCAGAAAGAATTAATAGAGGGAGAAAATCCCAATATTCAATATCTCAAAATATTTATCATCCTAAACCTAATTGAAATAAAATAACATATATATTTATAACTAAACCCTAATAAAATGCAAATACTAAATATAATCCTGAAACCCTAAAACTTAGAAAAGAAGTAAAACACTAATTCATATAAAATAACCTAACTATTCTAGAATGTCTTAAATATATATAAAAGTTACAACTTACAATTAACCCTGTGGGAAAACACTTATTTACAGCTGGTTGTAATCTTGTAATCTGTATATTTATATTTGTATCTCTAGAATTAAGTATTTGTATCCCTAAAATTAGGATAGACAATCCCTCAATTATAGGATTAGTTTTTTAGGAAGATTTAGTTTCCTAGTTTAACCCCTAGTTAGTTGTATATAAACCTAAGATTCTTGTATAATTCTCAATAAGCAATTTTCCAACATACATTCAATTTTCACACTGATTTATTTCTTAGTTTTTCCACATGGTATCAGAGCTTTAGGCTCTTCTTGGGAAGCAAAATTTTCAGCCTTCATTACTGACTTTTTTAGGCCTTTATTGCCGAATCCTGTTTAGGCCTTTATTGCCGAACCCTTTCAAAGAAAGATATCACTACCACCCAATTTGAGGAAATGTTAACTGAAAAAATCACCGGAGTACTACAGATGTCTCAGAAACAAGGAGAGTTCGACAAGTAAGAGATTGAAAAGCTGAGAAACTTATTGAAAATCCTTGAAAAGCTTATTATGATATGTTCTTCGGGTAAGGTTTCTAGTTCAGGTAAAGCTTCCGGTTCTCATGGATTAAATGTCTCGACTAAGTCTATTACGAGTTCTTGGGTCATTGACTCAGGAGCCACAGATCACATGATACATTCCTTACTAAAGTTTAGTACATATAACCTGTGTCCTCGTAATAAGAAAATTGTTGTTGCAGATGGTTCACTTACCACAGTGGCAGGATTAGAAGATGTTCAAGTTAATCCCTCGTTTGTTCTAAAAAAAATGTTCTTCATATTCCTAGATTGTCTACTAATCTGATATCTATACAAAAAACTTACCAGAGATATAAATTGCAAAGTAACTTTTTATCCCTCTTATTGTGAATTTCAAGACCAGAGTTCGGGGAAGATGATTGGACTTGCTAAGGAGAAGGATGGACTATACTATCTTGAGACATCAAATAACACAAGTAGTATCAAGAATAGTTTACCTTTGTCATTTCTTTCTGAAAAATCTTCCAATAAAGACAAAATTTGGCTTTATCATTTTCGTCTTGGACATCCTTCTTTTGGAACCTTGAGAAACATGTTTCCTTCTTTGTTCAAAGGATTAAATGTCGAAGATTTTCATTGTGATGTTTGCGAACTTGCAAAGCATAGACGTGTGTCGTTTTCAATCAGTAACAAAAGAAGTTCTACTCCCTTTTACTTGATTCATAGTGATATTTGGAGTGCCTCTACAATTCCTAATATTTCTGGTGCGAGATGATTTGTTTCATTCATAGATGATTGTACCAAGGTCTCTTGGGTTTTTTTACTTAAATCCAAATCAGATGTGAATTGTGTGTTTTTAAGCTTCCAAAACATGATCCAAAATCAATTTGGAGTGAGAATCAAGAGATTTAGGTCTGCTAATGCAAGAGACTACTTCAACCAGAGTCTATCTACCTATTTCCAAAAAGAGGGGATTATCTATGAGTCATCTTGTGTTAATATTCCACAGCAAAATGGAGTGACAGAGAGAAAAAACAGCCATTTACTAGCCACAACCTGAGCCTTTCTTTTTCAAGCAAATGTACCTAAATTTTACTGGGGGGAAGCTACTCTCACTGTCACACATATTATAAATAGGTTACCTTCAAGGGTTTTGGGATTTAAAACTCCTATGGAACTAATCTCACAATTTTATCCCAACCTTAATACCACAAACAATCTCACACTTAGGATATTTGGTTGTACAACATTTGTTCATGTTCACAGTCATAACAAGGGAAAGTTGGATCCAAGAGCGATTAAGTGTATTTTTGTGGGGTATTCTTCAACTCAAAAAGGATATAAGTGCTATCATCCTCCTACCAAAAAATTCTGTGTCTACAGATGTCATTTTTGAAGAAAATAAACTATTTTTTACTCAACCTTATCTTCAGGGGGAGACTTCATTTATGGAAGATAAGGATAAAGACTTCTTTTTGCTTGATTTGCCCCTTTCTTCAACATTTACACCAATTAATTCTTCTGAGTCGAAACCTGTTTCTGCTGAGCCCAAGTCAAACACTGAATTTGAGTCTGAACCCATTCCAAATACGGAAGATGTGACAAAGGATAATATTGTTCTTGATTCTATGAAGGAATTACAGGTGTACTCAAGAAGGAAAGTTCCAGATCCTGAACCAGTGCCAGTCCAAGAACCTGATCCTAACTCTGTAAATGAGGTAACTACAGTTTTTGACTCAGTTTCTCAAAATGAGCATGAATCTCCTAAAACTATAACTAGTGATTATGATCTGCCTATTGCCATTAGAAAAGGAACCAGAGAATGTGCCAAGCATCCATTATACCCAATCTCTAATTTTGTGTCATTTGAAAAATTCTCACCATCCCACAAAAATTTTCTTGTGAGCCTAAACACTATTTCTGTTCCAACTACATTATCCGAGGCATTATCCATTGAGAAATGGAGGCAAGCCATGAAAATAGAAATGGAGGCCTTAGAGAAAAATCAGACATGGGAACTAGTAGAGTTGCCTAAAGAAAAAAATCCAGTGGGGTGTAAATGGGTTTTCACTGTAAAATACAAGGCAGATGGTACTGTTGAAAGGTATAAAGCCAGGTTAGTGGCTAAGGACTACACTCAAACCTATGGAGTGGATTACCAGGAAACCTTTGCTCCAGTTGCCAAGATGAATACAGTTAGGATTTTGTTATCATTGGCTGCAAATTACAATTGACAGCTTCAACAATTTGATGTAAAGAATGCTTTTTTACATGGTGATTTGGAAGAAGAAATATATATGAAGGTTCCACCGTGATTTGGAGGTCATCTAGAAGCAAACAAAGTATGCAGGCTGAAAAAAGCTTTATATGGCCTTAAACAGCCTCCTAGAGCTTGGTTCGGGAGATTTCCCAAAGTGATGCTAGCAAAGACATATAAACAGAGTCAAGGAGATCACACATTGTTTATCAAGCACTCTGATTCAAGGAGAGTCACAATTCTATTAGTGTATGTTGATGATATAATTGTAACTGGAGATGATGAAAAAGAGAGAGAATTTCTAAAACAGTGTTTGGCTAGAGAATTTGAGATAAAAGAGCTAGGGAGATTGAAGTACTTCCTAGGAATTGAAGTAGCTCACTCACGGCATGGTATTTTCATCTCACAACAGAAATATGTGATGGATCTTCTGAAAGAAACTGGGAAGCTTGCATGTAAACCTGCAAATACCCTTATAGATCCTAATCGTAAAATTCGAGAAGCTAATGAAGATGCTGCTGTAAATAGAGAGATGTACCAAAGATTAGTTGGAAGACTCATTTATCTCTCACATACTAGACCTGATATAACATATGCTGTGAGTGTGGTAAGTCAATTTATGCATAATCCTAAAGAAGTGCACCTACACGCTGTCTACCATATATTGCACTATTTGAAGGCCAATCCTGGGAGAGCTATCTTATTCAAAAGAAATTTGGGGTTAGTTCTAGAAGCATATACAGATGCTGATTATCTAGCTTCAGTAACTGATAGAAGATCCACCTCAGGCTACTGCACTTTCTTAGGTAGTAATCTTGTGACTTGGAGGAGTAAAAAATAGAATGTGGTGGCAAGATCAAGTGCTGAAGCAGAGTTCAGAGCAATGGCTCAAGGAATTTGTGAACTACTATGGTTAAAGATTATCCTAGAAGACTTGAAGATTAAGTGCGATGGACCAATGAAACTCTACTGTGATAACAAGTCTGCAATAAGCATTGCACACAATCCTGTGCAACATGATAGAACAAAACACATTGAAGTAAACCAGCATTTCATAAAGGAGAAACTAGACAGTGGGTTGATTTGTACACCTATGTATCAACCAAGGGTCAACTTGCAGATGTGTTGACTAAAGGTCTCAGTAGTGCAACATTTCAAGAAATTATTTCCAAGCTGGGAATGGAAAACACCTATTATCCAGCTTGAGGAGGAGTGTGGGAAAACACTTATTTACAGCTGGTTGTAATCTTGTAATCTGTATATTTATATTTGTATCTCTAGAATTAAGTATTTATATCCCTAAAATTAGGATAGACAATCCCCCAATTATAGGATTAGTTTTTTAGGAAGATTTAGTTTCCTAGTTTAACCCCTAGTTAGTTGTATATAACTTAAAATTCTTGTATAATTCTCAATAAGCAGTTTTCCAACATACATTCAGTTTTCACACTGATTTATTTCTTAGTTTTTCCACAAACCCATAATAAAGTTCTAGATAATTTAATCTAGCAATTAGCACGTCCCCATGCTAAAACAGTTATGCTTTTTAATAAACCAAATATAGGGTGAAAGATGATTCCCCACAAAGACCTATGATTTCAACCCACTAGTTCTATATTAAGTCTGCCTGATGATTATAAGAACCTATATTACAAGCACATTGCTATGAAATCTTGATGCAAGGGGCAACATGCAGATCAGATTCAGCTACTCCCAAAATCTTTGGCAAGAAATGGCTCCAAGAAAATATCTAATTCTGTTCTATTTTGTAAATCTAAGATGAAAGCATGCTGAATATAGGTACTTCCAATCCCTTACTTTTGTATGGTGCAACAAAGTATTAAAGAAGTAATAAGCAGTTTTCCAACATACATTCAGTTTTCACACTGATTTATTTCTTAGTTTTTCCACAAACCCATAATAAAGTTCTAGATAATTTAATCTAGCAATTAGCACGTCCCCATGCTAAAACAGTTATGCTTTTTAATAAACCAAATATAGGGTGAAAGGTGATTCTCCACAAAGACCTATGATTTCAACCCACTAGTTCTATATTAAGTCTGCCTGATGATTATAAGAACCTATATTACAAGCACATTGCTATGAAATCTTGATGCAAGGGGCAACATGCAGATCAGATTCAGCTACTCCCAAAATCTTTGGCAAGAAATGGCTCCAAGAAAATATCTAATTCTGTTCTATTTTGTAAATCTAAGATGAAAGCATGCTGAATATAGGTACTTCCAATCCCTTACTTTTGTATGGTGCAACAAAGTATTAAAGAAGTAAAATGCAGGACTGTATCTTATATCAGGGCATCTATTTAAGTCCTCCACCAAACAAGCATATTAGAGAATGTAATATAATGCGCAAGTCGGGCAACTCAGCAAGGGGTATGATGCACTAAGATATCCTTCCTTGCTAAGATTTCAGATTAAACAGTTCTCCATTTACAACCAATTTTATGCCCTCTGCTAGACAGAAACACCACATACGCATGTATATAGACCAAGCAGATCATCCCCATCAGTGAAGCTAGAATCTGCAATAGTATGAAACAGTCTGTACTAGCTGATGCAAGTTCAAGATATCGCCACGGCATCATCCGGAAAAGAGTGAACTTACAAAAAGAAGGTATTAGCATATTACCTGAACTAGTACAGCACCAGCAGCATCCCCAAAGAGAATGCATGTCCCTCTATCAGTCCAATCAACAATTCGAGAAATAATATCTGCTCCAATCACTAAAACATTACGAAACCCACCTCCTGTAATTCACAAAGGTAAAAGTTTGATACTATAAAACATTAATGGGCATGATAAAACCTCCCCGCTGTGAATTAAACAAATTCCTTACCCCTAATATGGCAAGCAGCAGAGACCAGACCCAACACAAATCCGCTGCATGCAGCTGTAATATCATAAGCTAAAGGAGTTTTTGTGCAGCCAAGCTCTCTTTGGACCTGACAATTTAAATAAAAGTTGCCAGAACAATAACTAATTAGTATTCAATAAAACATACACACATTACTGTCAAAATAAGCACATATGCCATGTCAAGACCTACAAACAAGAAGACTAGTGAAGCTCAAATAGACCCAACCTCTGCTCAAATTAGACAAAATCTGTAGAGCCAAACAGTTGCCTGAACCAAAACCTGCTCTGACATTGATTTTGTATTTATTTGAAGTTTATACCCTACAACACTTGATAAAATCTACTACAGCATCCATGAAATTCAATGTAGTACAAGGAAAATTTTCACCAGAAAAATAGTTAATTTTTTCTCTGTGCCTCTTTCACTCAAAAGAGAATACTTAAACCTGAAATCAAGATCTCCGCTTAAGCCCCTATCCTCCAACAACAATTAATGTACATTAACTAAGTTTGTAGCCTTCGTGTACCTTCACACAACAATTACACTTTCAAACAATATTTGATTACACTACTTCCCATTAGATCCCATTACCCAAAATGCTTGGAAACCCCTAATGAAACCCAAAGAAGCATCTAAATAAACCAAAAGATCTTTAGCTTTTACAAATATTTATAAGTTTTGAGACCAATATAGAATCTACCAATATGGTTAAATTTCTAGAACACAGGGAAAAAAATGCTTGCAAGCACATATTCAAAGTCACCTCTAATACAAAAAACGTTCTATGATTTATGCTAGTTAACACAAACAAGTTTTTCAAGATAATCCAGGACATATCATTTTTACATTCCTCTTGATATATTTGAAGCAGTCTTGTTTAAAATGCATAGAATCATCCAATCCTAGATTTTCTGAAACCTCCATGCAGTCCAGCATAAATAATGAAAATTGCTATGTTTGTTACAGCCTCATTAGATTCTGCAATAATTATTGACCTATTCCCCAATACCTGTGGAGCAACACCAAAAAGATCATCTGGTGTAGATGTGCACATCAAGATTAGGTCAAGATCATTACGGTCAACATCTGCCATTTCAAGAGCTTTCCTTGCCGCTTCAACCGCTAGGCTTTTTAAACTTTCCTTTCCTGTAAGAGGATTGTTAATAGGACTCTCCTCCACAGAGAAATAAGGATGGCAAAAAAAGCAAACAAGGTTTCTGTCCAGCCATGGCCAAAAAAGCAATTTAGACAAAGCAGTGCAGCACTTAAGCCAGGCCAACGTTCTGCTTATTATAAGGGAAAAAGCCTGTATAAAGTATTTTTCAACCTCTTAAGAATAGCAAGCATAAATAGCTGTACTTAAAACCAGTCTAACTCAGCATATCTAGACTGGGACTCTTCAAGCCAAATACCCTTCCACAAGATTTAAGCAAAGGTTTTTATCACATGAACGAAAGTTTGATACAAGCAGGAAATGCCAGCAAAATAGTTAACGGATATGCTACACATAGCCCTAGTATGCATTAGAGAATGTTCTGACCTGAAATAACCCGTCGATTTCGTATACCAGTTCGGACATAGATCCATTCATCAGAAGTATCAACTATTTTTGCAAGATCATCATTTGAAACTGAAAGAATTGGCACTGCTGACCCACAGCCAACTAACTTGCAGCCTTTACTAACAAGCCTGTATTTTTTTCCAAAGTATAAATAGGAAAGTAAAACATAAGTCACGAAAACCATTATCTTTCAAAATGAAAGGAGTAAACAAACAAATAAAACCGAGGCTGCATCTCAACTCTGAAGGCCAGAATGGATTTGAAGTACCCAGTAAATGCCATTGACAAGCCAGCTGTTTGGCACGTGTACTTTGAAAACTTCAGTGTCAAAAGGGGGTTACATACAACATTGTACTTTATCTTAACCCCAGACCTAATAGGAGCTTCTCAATCACCATCAGAAGAGAAACCTAATGCTTCTAGTAGATCAATAACAAAACTATACAGGTCTGGAGTGCTCAAAAAGCTTACAGATACCTGGCTGTCTTTCACCCTGTTAAGTGTCTCCCTAACTAATGTGGAAATAAAAATCATTAAGATGGCCTGCAAGAGACAAATTAAACAAAAAATTGGATTGACCAATATATCCAACAACTAGGAAACCTTAAGTATCTGAACTATGTCCATGTTAATCTCCAGCTTGTTGATATAAGTAAAGCGTGCAGATATTAGCCTACAAGGGTCACAGGAAGACTTCTTTACTCAAATGGCACAAACTCCAAATAGCTTGCGATTTCCTCTATTCTCATCTCATAACCCAAACCAAAGTTTCCTATATCATATAAATCCATGAATGGATAACAACTGAGACTATTTAATATCAAACTCAGGACAATTAGTTATTTTTGGTATGCCAGACACAACCTCCTAAGCCACTGATTATTCTGAAGTACCATTCTTAATTTGGAGACAAAGGTTCATGAATTGTTTATTCAGCTAGGACTACAAAGAACGCACAAAGCCAAACATCTTAAAGACCCACAAAAAAAAAAAAGACAAACATCTTGCTCATACCATATTCAAGTCATCTATCCAGAGTTGCCTTTGCATAAACTAGGAGGATCGGCAATTTCAGCTCATTAGTTTTTCAAACCTCGATGATAATCCACCAAGAGCAAGCAACACAATTACTGGGCACTACAACCAAATGACATCCTAATCTTTCAAATTTAATCAAGACAACTCCCCCGTAAATAAGCTCCAGATGCACACGTATGAATCTGTTTCATCAATTCATAAATGAAAAGAATCGTCTTTGTTCAATGCACATGATTCTTGCTAGTGGAAGAGCAATTTAGCCTTGAACTTCACAACAACTATAACACCCAAACAACGAAGTTCCAATAAAATTAAAACTCAATAATAAACAAAAATTTACTCTTTCCTGAAAAAGTATCCACATTTACTCAATTACAGATACAGAGTCAATACCCATAAAGCCAAGCTCATTTGAAACCATTTTCAGAAATAAACCAGCTGCTACACTCCAACAACTCAATTCCCAGAGAAATAAATCAATCAAGCAATAATCAAACAAGAATCGAATAAAATAAGCCGAAGAAATTTACTTGGGTACTCGAGATTTAGAAGGGGAAAAATGCTTCTCTGCACCTTCAATGCCACTTGAGCACACTACCCTCCTAAAGATTCCTTCAGAGAAGCAAATCCCAGATCGAGAAATTCCTATGGAAGGTTGAATCTTTCTCCTCAGGCACGGAACTGAAGGTGTGAAAAACCCAGTTGCATTGGCCATTTACAATCCCACAAAACACTCACTTTACAGCGGCGAAGGAATAATATAGCTAAAAAAATGAGAAAGAGAAATGCAAATTTTGAAACTTTTTTTGCCTAAAGGGAGAAAGCAAGGGTCTTTAGAATGTAATGGAAAGAGTATAAAAAGCCCGTGACAACGAGAGAAAACTCAAATTAAATAAGTTTCATGAATCAATTTTTCAAAAAGGATAAATAGATTTATGCAAAACTTGAGCGAAACCCAGGCTTCATTTTTGGTAAAGATCTTAGGAGGGTCCAAAGATAAAAGAAAAGGGAAAAAAATTGGCTATTTTGCCAACCAGTTTTGTGAAACTCCAACGCTACTCTTAAATTTTCTCTCGTTGTACAAGTATATCTTGTGGGGCATAAAACATTTGGTTTAGCACTTGACAGTTGACACTCGGCAGATTGAGCTTGAGTTCTGTTTGCTGGTTCGTACTCTTTGGGAATGCTTGGCCAATACCTGTCGTTGATGGTTCGTGAATTACAAGGTTTGGTTTCGCATTGAATCCTCATCTAACTCGTATTTAACTCGTATTCTTATTTCTTGTCGTTTCACACATTGTTTCAGCTTTGGTTTACTTGTAACTCTTTCCAGTTTTCCCAAACAATACAAGTTAAAGAGTTTGTTCGACAATTGGATTTCAAGTCAAAATTTTAAATAATTGGATTTATTTGATTGGATTGCATTGGATTTAAAATAAATGGTAGGTCTCTTCTTATAAAAAAAGACAGACTCACCAATTTTACTTTAGAATAATAATGCCATCACCATGTGATTGCTCTAAAACATGACCCCAATATTGGGCTAAATTTTGGAGTTTCCATGGTGGAATTGGTCTATTGTATTGGACTCCAACACAAAATTGAAATTTTGGAGAGGCCCGAGAGCAATGTTAGAACAAATCAGCACGTTTTGAACTTAATACATATAGTCAAGTTCCCTTGAGCCGTCGGGAAATATGACCTAACAAGATTTTTTCAAAAAAAACCTTTTTCAATAGAGTAAGAACTTTTTAGGTACATAATACCTTATCATTAAATAGCATTTTAGAACTAAAAAATATGATTTGATCAAAAGCTTCAAAGTTCAAACCCTGCTTGGTAAAAACATTGAACATTGAACATTCATCTTCTCATGAAAAGGGAAACAAATTAATTTTTAAGATCGGATAGGGCAATTTAAGATCCTCTTTGTCTGAATCTCAAGCTCCCAAGGAGTAAATGCTGCTGCTCTACTCCTCTCAAATTTCGCCAAAGAAAAAAAAGGTCGAAATTGTAGGCACCCAGAGTTCACATGGATAGCCGCCCCATACTTGGTAACAGCTGTTGTATCATGTCATCCATAGAACAGTACAATATTTACATGAGAGGTTGAGTTTTGACTTTTGATATACTTGGTAATCATATCAAAGCAGAGGAGGGTGATCTATTTTTGGTTTGATTTTTTGCAAAAATTTTAGTTATTTTATACCCATTTTTGTTTATTGTAATGTTATTTTGTATCTAATAATTGAAGATAAGATTTATATTTGATATATTATCGACTAATCATAAGCCTTGATAGCAGCCAGAAATAACTTCATTTGTGTATTTCCATCCCTTCAACATTCCAAACTCTTTCTCACCTGCCTAGAAACTTGAAACTCATTGTTAATGGCAAAGGATACTAACACTCCAAGATTGAAAGTTATTTAAAAATGACAAAGAAATCATTCTCGTACTTGAAAAGAGTGAAGAGGATTTTAACAAAGAAATGGGAACTTTACCATCGGTTGCAAAACAGGGTGAGTGGAACACACTAAAATGAACAAAATCACTGCACAGTATGGAGAAATGTTGAAACCTTAAAGTTGTAGGCCTTGGTCTAAAATTGCTAAAACATTTGCTTTTGATATTCAAAATCTGCATATCATATGCTTTGAGCAACAACTAAATCCTAGTGTAGCGCCCCCTTTTTGCTATAAATGAGCCCCAGACCCCATTTCGCAACAACAGGGAAATCAGTAGCTGCCGCCAGCATTGCTAGCAGAGAGAAAGAGGCCCTGTTTCCCTTTTCGTACACTCTGCTTATCTCTCCCACAACTCCCCCACATCACGAGGGCCCCAATCGTTTCATTGATGACGGATACTTTTTGACCAAACCCCTTTTTCTTTGTAAACTCCTGACATCCTAACTGCTTCTTCAACATACAGGAGAGCAGAACATGGTGAAATACCTTAATTTCCGGGACTCTAGATTGTTTTTTTTTTTTTCTGATCATTTCATGAAGTACTTGGGGTTTGATTCATCTTTACTAGGTTCTCTTTTTCTTTTAAAAATTTTTACAGGTTGATGCAAGATCAATTCCTCATTGGCTTGGAATTCTTCTTGGAGAAAAATTCTTTGATCCTTGTATAGTTCATAAGTCTGAAAAGAAAATTGAGAAGAACATTTTCTGCTTGAATTGTTGCATTACTATCTGCCCTCACTGCTTGCCTTTTCACCGTCCTCATCGTCGCTTACAAGTTCATTGATCTAGATTGCCAAAAATCAGCATAAAATTCCATCTTATCTTACTTTCTTACAGATCGAATTCCTTCTATTTTTTCCCTTGTACAGATAAGAAGATATGTTTATCAAGATGTTCTACGGTTGAGTGATGCTCAAAAACTGATCAATTGTTCCCTCGTTCAAGTATGTAGTTAATCTAGCTTGAACTAAGAAAGTGAAATGTTTCTTTTCTTGAATTCAGGTCTTCTGATCATTTTTAACTCTACAGCCATACACAACAAACAGTGCCAAAGTAGTGTTTTCGAATGAAAGGCCAATGTCACGCCCCTTTAGAGGCTCTGGTAAATTCTGCATCAAATGACATCGCAGCCTTCAAGACCCATTTCTCTTCTGCTCTCTCTCTTGCAAGGTTCATCATTTCCGTTTTAGTCAATTACTAGTATATTCACTGTTTTGATTTTCTTAACATTTTCAATTTGCTTGTACGGTTACTGTTTCTCTTTTTCTCACAGTTTAATTTCCTTGCCCCACATGCATGCAGGTTAATCACTTAGAGACTGCCAAACGTGACGGAAAAACACTTGACCCAACCTCTGAACTACTTCCATTGTTGTACAAAACTAGAACTGACGCCAGCTTCCTAAAGCTTGAAGAGGATCCTCAGATGACTCCTGACTCCGTCATGGGCTCCCCTGTTTCCCCTAGTACTTGGTCAGGAGGATCAACAAACACAACTGTCACTAGCAATGGTAACAGTGCAATAAACTGCAAGCCATCGTCACTTGTTTCCACTGCCACAACTGAGTTCGTGAAGAAGAAGAAACGCAGCTGCGTTTTAATGCCTCGAGGTTCGTGCCGAGGCAGATGCTCACAGGCTGCTGCGGCTGAGAGTATTAGCCACCGGAAAGGTGTGCCTCAAAGATCACCTTTGAATTGAATGTGAAAAAAATAATAATAATAATTACGATGCCTTTAGTAGTTTAGCATGTAGTGTGTTTTAAGGAGGCAATGATTTGTGGGAAAAGTTTTGACCGGGATGGAATATTAATTCCTTCCCAATATTTTAGTGTTTAGTAATTGTTAAAATTAAATTTTAGAGGTGTATAACCTAATGTTCTTTGAATTTGATCATCCCCTCTTCTCTTTGAGTTATGATATTTGAGATTAGGTTTAATTTTCAAACAGAAGCATTGGTTTTGTTGAATTAAATTAACCTATAAATCTAAAATATAATTCAATTAATTCATATAATTATTTTTAAAAAATATACATAGAAACTTTAAATCTAGATGTTTATAATTCATATTTTTATCCCATGATTGCAACAAAAGAAAAGTGTGTTCTCTTGATTTGCATAAAAAGGTTGGTGGTATAGAACTTAGGTTAAAATAGTAGTCTTTCATAGTAGTGTTTATATTTTGATTTTAATCCAATGTTCGCATTTTGATTAAATAAAATTTGGTTAGATAAAATTTTAAAATTAATAAATTTAATTCGATTAATAAACATAAAATAACATAATTTAATTTGAATTTAATCAAATTAATTGAAAGTGAGATTTACGCATAGTAATCATGATTATTCGTAATGATGCTCTCCTTTAATTATAATTTATGCATTACAAGATTCTTAATGTCAATTCTATTTCCAATAATATTCACTTCTTTTAGCATATCCCAAATTTTTTATACTATCTATCAATGTTGAATTTAAAAAAAAAAAATTGTTATACTATACATAGTGATCAAAGATAAGGATGAATGGAACATTAAGAAAGTCATAGTTTTTGTAAAATTAAGTGAATGTGAAAGTAAATTCGAGTTTGTCACTACATTGTAAGATGAAATTTTCTTTTTATTTCGAGATTTTGTTCATCAAAAATAAAAAATATTGATTTAAATTAATCAATATTTGAATTATAATTAATTGAACTCTTAAAGAAATTTTAAAAAGAAATGAGAAAGATAATAAAAAAATTATTTTATTTAATTTTTATATATAATTATGTGATATGATAAATTATTATCTATTTTATTCATATGACATCAAATTTTATCATAATTAACAAAAAATTTAAATAGTATTAACTTTCTTCATCCAAATAAAAATTTAATTAGATACAAATAAATGCTGAAAAAATAATTGATTATAACAAAAAAAAATTTTCAATGATTTTTTTAATTACAATTCAAAAATATTTATACCTTTAATCTTTTAAAAATTTTGTGAAAACAGTTTATTTTCTATAATTTAATTAGCCAAATTCAGTAGGAACATAAAATTATTGTCCTCATTGTCTTTGATTTTCTTCTGCACATGTCGTTATCATGGTTGATACCGTTTGGTGACAATTCCCATGTTTTCGTCTCATTCACATCAAATTTTTATTTGGGTATCATTTATTTTATTTTTTATAAAAAAATCGTGACTAATGAAAAAGGTTATAATTATTAGATTTTAAATTTTAAATTTATCAAATATTATTTTTAAAAAATAATTATATCAATTAATTTAATTAAATTTTTTAAAAATTAAATTTATAGAATATAATCCTATGGCCAGAAATGAACTTCTGCAGGCTTTCCATATGCTATAAAAGCTGGGAATGAGGAGGGTAGCTAAAATGTGGAAAAAAAAAAATGAAAAAGGCATGAATACTAATCAACCAGAATCAGAGCGGTCAGAAATACCAGTAACTGATAACAACTTGTTAAAGCTCTTGTGAGGAGAGGTGATAATTCAAATATGATATAATATAATATAAAAATATAAATTAAAATTTTGGTTATAATTATATAAATTTAATAAAAATATATTTATATTTTTATATTAATATAAATTATAATATATATTTTTTATATAAAATATAATAAAAATATATAAATTTTAATATTTTATTTCACGCAAATATATGAATCATCGTGTCTAATTGTGAACATTGATAAAAGACACACATTTGGTCCCTCTAATTATCTATAATCAACTCTCCCCTTCAACCTGTGACTTTTCAAGTACAAATCTTACACATTCATATTTATATGAAGCATAAAAATAATTAATAATAAAAAATTTTGTTAGCATGTTTCAACAAAAAATATATATATAAATCGGGCAGATTGGATGTTGAAAAATGGGAAAATGGAGATATTAATGGAGGGAGATAAAGGCAAAAATAAGCAATAAAAGAACTTAACACTGTAAATGGTCTGATCTTTGCTTTTTCACTTCAAACTGTCCTATCACTCCTGACTGGTCCTCCAACAGAAGACAGATATCTTAAAATAATAATGAAAAAGGGCCAACAGAATCGCTAAGATTATGCAAGAGAGAGAATGACAGAAAGTGAATATAAATACCAGAGTATCTCTCTTTCCTCGGCAATGTATTATCTTCTCTCCTCTTTCATAGTTTCATTACATGACGTTGCCCTTCTTTCTCTTTCAATATTTTTTGTCCCAAACCCATAGTGATCTGATTCCTTTTCATCTCTTTTCTTTAACATAGCTTCTGTTACATCTATCTGCATTAAGTTTTTAGTTGTTAGGATTCTCGGCAATTGTTTTTGTTTTGTTTTTTTTTAAATATCTTCATTGTAATCTGGTTAAGGCAGTTGAGTTATATGTCTCTGAGGAGAAACAAGTGGAATTTTTTTTTTTAATCTCAGGAATGCTATTTTGGGTTGCTTCTATCCTGTTGAGTTCTTTCTCCCTTTTCTTGGATTCTGTGGATAAATTTTAAGCTTCGTTTCTTTACTTTTTATGTGTTCATGTCTTGTTAGTTTTTCTGCCTCTTTATTTAATGCTTAATGGCTTGCTTTTTATGAGGTGGATTTTTTTTTAATAAATGTTGTTGTAATTAACAATTATTGGAATTTAACATGAAGTCCTGTTTCTCTGGGTTGATTTTGTTTCTATGTTTTCATAATCAAGTGTTTTTTTTTAATGCATATAACATCTAAACAGAATGTGGTTTACATGGCTTCTGTTATACGTCAAATTTTCCCATTAATTATACCAAGATTAATCTGCATGGTTTAATCATGCACCAGATAAGGAAAACCCTGCAAATCCTATGTAAGAGCTGAGTCGAATGGCGTCTTATGTAATCCCATATTGAACTCCCGTGGCAACTTTCTTTTACATTCGACTGAGTCGTCCATGTTTGATTCGTCAGAGTGTTGTATGTGATAGTAAGAAGTGACTTCAATCACCTACGTCTGTACATTGTCAACATTCTCATGGCGCCGTGTGTGTTTCATCCCGCTATTTTTCTCCCCAACTTGTTATTATTGGATGGTTTTCTTTTTTTTTTTTCCCAGGGAAAAGTATCTTATGGATGAAGCTTAGTTGAACCTTTTAGTTAGATTTTAGAATGCATTATTTCGATAATGTTGTTAAATGTATGAATTGAATGTATAATTCTTGGGGATGCCTTTATACCATATTATGAGATAACATATCCTACAAACAGCATTGTTCAATGGGACACAGGCAAACAGCTAAGAAAATGTAATCTTGATATGTACTGCTAAAGTTAGTCATTTATTCTTTCATTTTATATACATTGATCTTTCACCATGCCTTCACAGTTTCTTTTTCGTACAGCTGAATTATCTAATTTTTTTATCATAACCCTACCTACGGCCTATGTACTATTGGCTGCTTAGACTTGGCTTGTTTAGTAATAAACCTAAATTTGCCATTTACAATTTACAACTTATATTGACTCAACCAGTTTAGTTGTTGGAAATATTTATAACGTTAAATTGTTCAATAACAAAGAGTGTCAGTAGATAGAACTACAGCAAAAATCTAGCAATGACCATGATCATTTTGGTGTCTCTGTTTGAATTTGTTGTTGTTTAAATGGCAATATTTGTCAGTATGGACTTGTCCTAGTTAAATGCTATGTTTTTATAGTGAAATTGATGAACTTTTTCAAAGTTTATCTGATAGTTGTTTAACCAGGATTTTTCTAGACACATTTATCACATGGAAAGACTAATATCTTTCAAAGTTGGCTGCCTTATTGGCTATTGGCAGTTTCCCAGATTAGCAGCCTTATGATTATTAGAGATACTGCAGTATCTTATAACCGTCATTTCTCTGGGGAAACTTTGCAGAGATGGAGAGCAAAGGACAGTGTGAAATATCATTTTAACACTCAATTATTTGAGGATGCAAGATCTGACATCAATTGACGTATTTGTTTGATTCTTATGAGGAAAAAATGTTGATGCTAAATGATTTTGATTTGAATTCAATGCAACGATACACTGATATTTTCAAGCAGACCATGCTCGATCAGGAGATTATATTCAGAAAGCAGGTACAAGGATATCTTTGTGGCTCATTACATGTTAATTTGCTACATTTTCTGTTCAGAATTGGCATAAGGGCTGGCGCATAATCTGATGCATGTAAATAATTTCCCTTCGATGGGTCAAGCCTTGGCCATCTTTGTGTGAAAAGTTTTGGCTTGAAATTTGGGTTCTTGTCAATTTTATTGCTCTCAAACTAGATGAATTAACATGATTTAGAGTTATACTTCAATATATTGCTTTTACCGTAATGGTGGATCATGAGGCCAGACATGGAATAAGAATCATGACGCTCCCCCACTTTAGATGCTTATGTTCTTGTTGTCGGTTTTTTCAGGTCCATGAGCTCCATCATTTGTATAGTGTTCAGAAGACTCTAATGATGGATCATTTCCCCCTGGAGCTTGAAAAGCACAATTCATGGAAGGCATATGCACAATCATTTCCCAAAGAAACCAGAGTCCCCAGAAATTCAATTCCCATGGTACTTGAAGCTACTGTCTTTTGAAATGTTAGAAAGCTGACCTCCAAGGATGCTTGAGTGGTTTTTGATTCATTAGTAAATAAAATGCCATAAATTTAAAACTTTTGAAGGTTAGGAATATGATGTGGTTTAATCAAGAAGATCTAATAAAAAGTTTTATTATCATAAGTGAAATCTGGTTGAGAGTTCTTTGCCTTTGCATGCATTATCATGACTTTTCATCTTTTGGAAAGTGTCTGTGCTCTTTGTACAGGACGCGTTAACTGATCTAATACCTTTCCTCTTTGAAATGTTGTTCAGTTGGGCTCAAGAGTATCTTCAAGTCAGAAGGTTTTAGAAGGGTGGACGGGCAAATTTCAGCAAAAACCTTCTGATCTTCAACTTCTACCTGATCAGTATATCAGTCTTGGTGATAATAATCTTCCAAATAAGGGACAGGTTGGGGATCACTTAAAAGAAACCATGGATGTAAATTCTCTCCATGGTGGTGATTTCACAGATCCACTGGAGTTGAGGCTTTCTCTAAGCCTTGGAGTGGCCGAGGTGAAAAAGGAAGATAAACAGAGAAGTTGGTATGACAGGAAAACTAATACCTGCTATGGAATTGTCATTGATTCCAAAAAATCTACTGAGAGGACCTCAGATGAGGATGCAAAATATCCGCCTTCCGATTTTGCCGCTAAAGCTACATATTCTGGAGGTAAGCATGGTTCGGAAGTTACTATAACATCTGATCCAATCACTTCAAGAAACATGAAGAAAGATCTATCTCATGAGATTGCAGAGAGTAGCTCCTTTGTTGGGGACAGCAAATGCTGCCAAGACTGGAGCTATTCTGATCAAGGTACAGGAGATTTCTTCACATCAGAAGCAGCATTTTCATAGGAACAATGTTGGCTTCGGTTCTTGTTCAGTTCAAGCATATGTTTTAAGTATCATAATTTAGCTTTTGTTTATTTGTCATATCTACAGGATTAAAACGCCATGAAGATATGCCACACAAAAACTTTTTGGCTAGAAAGCCGCAGCTCCTTTCATATGGAGTGGGACATGTGGACCTTAATGAAGTTCTGCTTGATGATTTGTCTTGTCACTCAAATGATGCCATGGTGGCCCATCCTTTGACAACTAGCTCATCTGGTGGTTTTAGTGGACTGGTTAGCAGGAGTCAAGAATCCTTGTGTCCAACTGCATTTTGGAGAAAAGAAATTAAGGAGTTCTCCATTGGCACTTTTGAGATGCTTCAACAAGATGATGGTGCAAAACTTGCTTTGATGAATTCCAATAACAAAGACAAAAGAACCGAAATTCAAGTCGGAAATGCTGAACTAAGTGGAAGGAATGAATGCAAAACAAGCCTTATTGGTCCTGCATCTGTATCCAGGCCCCAAATAAGCCTTTCCAAAGACCTTGGCAGCCACAGTGGAAACACCAAGAATGGAACGGATGACCTGATGCTGAAACGACAAAATGGTCCTGCTTATGGTCCCAACCCTGCATGTGTAATTGCTAGAGAAGTGGGTTGTGAGAAGACTGAAGAAGGGGACAGTGTGTTGTTCTGTTCTGGTAAAATCCAAATTACAATTGAAGATGAAAATCCTGATGAGTCTCCTGCTTCGGGGAAGTCAAGCTGCATTTCAGATCTTGATTCTAGCCCCGTAAGGACTATGCAACGTGGAATTGAACCCAGTAATTCAAATCTTCCTGCTTCTGATCAGTTTTCAGGAACCCATGGGAGATCTCAGGTTGCAGAAACTTTATCAGGTGAGCAGGATCAAAGATCTTCTGACGGTAATGAAGTAAAATATGAATGTTACAAGAACAGGGAAGAATCAGCTGAAGTGGATGATTTGATCAAAATAGCCGCTGAATCCCTTGTCCATATCTCCTTGGAGAATTTGGCGTGCTATCAGGAATCTTCAACCAGGACAGGGTCCAATGAGTTAGAGAACGAGGACAAGGAGCAGACACAGTGTTCATCTGATTCTTTTGAGTTAATGACTCTGAAACTGACAGAAAGCAGTGGTGATGACTATTCTCCATCATCAAAGCCAGTTGTAAGTGATGCAGAGAGAAAAGATTTGAGTATCAAGCTAAGAAGGGGAAGGAGACTGAAGGATTTTCAAAAGGACATACTTCCAGGTCTTGCATCACTTTCTAGACATGAAATCCGTGAAGATATAAACATTCTTGAGGGAGTTTTAAGATCAAGGGAGTACAGGAAAATGAGAGCTAAGATGGTTAATGGAGAGAGTTGGTGTACACCAGTGAGAAGCAGACGGTCAAGACTCAATTATGTAGGAAGAAAAACTTTTAGAATATATTCAATTTGAAGTTCAAACTTAATCAGATTTTAGCATAAATGTGTTGTGTAATCCAATCTATTTTAACTGCAAATAATCTTTAAACTCATTCATTGATCTAAAGATATTTAACCATGTTCTGATATATGATTTGGCCCTCCTAAGTTTTACCTTTTCTTTAGAGTTATTTAAGCTATGTTCTTAAATATGATTCTAGGAAGATATAACCAGACTTAAAATGTTGACCATGGAAATTTTGTTTGAAAAGAGACCTGTGTTTTTCATTTCGGCACACAGCTCTATGTGCAGGATAGTGCATGAAGAAGTCTTACTAGTGAGGCAAATGTTATATGACCATGTATTTTACAGATACTCGGTTAGATTAAAATGAAACTCTGAGCATTAAACAGATCCATTCATGTTAATATCTTGGGCAGGAGTCCTGGAATTTTGGTCTGAAGAGTGTTTATAGGATGTAGTCCGGAGTGTTAATTCTACAAATTTAAACTCTGATGGATTTTATCGAGTGTTATGATAAATGCCCTTGAATCATGTTCTTGAATATTCCCTTTATTCCTATGAAGTTGAAAGCAGAAGCTTCTAATCTGCTCTGACCCAGATTTGTACTCCAGTCTTTCCAGGTTGCAAGCTTGCAATGGTAAGAGAGAATAACAATCTCTTCTTCCAGTTAGTCAGCTGCAGAGGCGTATAAAGGGCAAGTGACAAGTGTTCTGTTACATGGAAATGCAATGGCCTTTCCCATATCAAGACCAAAGCTCCCAAGTGGGCTCCAAAAGTCCAACCCTATTTCAAGAAACCAGGGCTGAGGGCTCTCACATAAAAGGACCAATGCCCGACCATTACCATTTCTAAACAACTTTATTTCAACTGAAACATTTCTGACATGGGTTTTCTTTCTACACAAACATTTCACTTGGAGAAAGAGCAATAGTTTCCCTTCCATAATGTGGGGTTTTTCTTTCTTTTCTTTTCCTCACAGCTTCTTTTGTTTGAAGAAAATCTATGAATTAAAAATCTTCAATTGAATTGTTCAAGATCCTCTGAGCAAAAAATTCTACTTGGAATCATGAAGGTCCTTTAAGCAACCATGATTTGCCTAGTGTGGGATGACCTTATCAGATAATAAATCCATAATATTTGATGCATGAATCGAATATGAGCAGAACAAGCAGAGGTGTTATGTAAAGTTAGGCACTACAATCTGTTGTTTCTTCTCAGCCACTAGTGATGCCTAGCTTCCTTGGGTGGTGGGCCCAAAAAATCTTAGTCTTTGATCTTTTTATGGCAAGAAAAATTTTTTCCAAGCCAGAAAATTGTAGACAAAAACTGTAACTAGAATCATATGATTATCTTTTGAAACTACATCTTTTTCTTCATGACTAATCATCAAAAACACTAGTGATTATGGGAGAGAACATAGTTGATTAGTCTTGCTTAAGATAGAAATTAAAGCAAATTGTATGCAAAGCAACCAGTCGAAAGAAAAAATTATTTGATTAATCTGTCTCTGTTTAGTTTAACATTATTGTTGTGAATGAAAAAAAAATTGAGTTGTAAAATGTACATTTAAAAAGCGTAATTAAAAATTTTAAGTATTTGATATTATTATGAATAATTGAAATATTTTAAAAGATATGTATAAAATAATAAAATGTTAAAAATATAAGGATAATAAGATAATTTTTTATTTAAATGCATTCTTTCACCGTAAAACCACTTTCTTTTGAGAAAATTTTTTAATTGAGCAGAAAAAGCAAAATTTAAAACGAAAAAATAAAAAAAAATTATTATTTAATATTACATTTGAATCAAAAATAACTTTTGAATGCGTAAAATTAATTTCAACAAGGAGGTGAGATCTCTCTTTCAAATCTCCACTTTATTTTGTTGCTTTCCATGTCTTTGGCGACAATTTCTCTGCTTGTATATCAAATACCATTAGATAAAAAAAAAAATTTCTCCTTTTTTTTTTTTAAGAACATTGATATGATCATATTTAATGATGGCAATGGATCGGGTAAATTTTGCTCGTCTCAAATTCAATCTGACTTTAAACATATAAAATTCATACTCATATTAGATCCGATAAATTTTTTTATTTTTAATATTAGAATCTCACTCGATTTGATCCGACATTATATAAAATCAAATCCAATCCGATCCTACTCGAAATTAATAAAATATTATTTTAAATATAAATATAAAATTATATATATAAATATATAAAATTAAATATATAATTAAAAAATAAATTTTTTATATATATTAGATCGGATTTGTATAAAACCTGATCCCGATCCGAACTCAAATTTTTTTACGTTATTTAATTTTATCCGACTTGATATCCGATTTTTAAAATAAAAAAATCGATCCTAAAATATCGGATCGAATCAAAACCGTTTGTTTCAAGTATTTTTACCTTTTCTAATCATATTACCTTGATAAATTTCTTCAAAGTCGGTTTCAGAAAAGAATTTGTTGTCAGTGGAGGCAACATTTCTCGACCGGTTAATAATTTAATGTCAGAATACTAATCAACCCCAATTAATTTCTGGAATATCAACTGGTACTATTTTCATAGTAACAATCATATCCCCATGAACATATGATAAATTATTTGGCAGTAGAAAATTTTTTTACTAAGATTCAAATCAAAGCTCTCCATCCAAGTTTAAAATTTAACAGAAGTAAAAATTTTGGGTAAGATGCATTTGAGTCCATTTTCTTATCATGCACAAGCCAAGATTAATTGAGTATTAATTCATATGGTGTGCATATTGAATAATTTTTTTAAAATTACAAATTTGAGAAATATTAAAAAAAAATTAAATAAATAAAAATTTAGAGGTAAATTTTATATTAAAAATAAAAAAAAAGACTATATATACCAAGTCAAATCCAAGAGAATAATCAATTAATTATGGTGGTATATGTGTCCAAAACAACATAAATTAAGTGGTTAATCTGTCATGCACCGTCCAAAAGCTTTACTAGACTTATTAATGATAATTTCTATGTACTCCTTTCAGAGGTATTATCCACATTTGATTGAACCACTGCATCTCATGTTTAAGGGAACAAATTAATAATAAGTATAGTTTATAAACAACTAAATTTTTAAGAATCTGATTAATGGCAATTAATTTTTCTATACTTATATAGTGATAACAGCTGTTAGATTAAAACAAATTAGAGTTCCATCCATGATAAAATATTCATTTCCTCGTGATTGGAAGATCTGAGACAACTACGTGAAGACGAGAGAAAGTTTGGGTTCTGCAGTCGTGCGAGTAAGCCTGCTCAAGGCAGGCAGGTCAGGAAGGGAAACTGAATCTCTGTTCGTTCTGAGCATGGCATTTGCCTTGCAAGTTAGACTTGGTAAGGGATGAAAAAATATATATATTTGATTTTCTTTGGATTGAATTTTTTTATTTGATTTGAATTAAATTTAAATAACAAATAAATATATATTTATATTAAATTTGAATTGAATTTTGGATAAAAATAAAAAAATTAAATTGAATTTAATATTTTATATATATATATTTTAAAATTTTATAAAATAAAAAGATATATAAAAATAAAATAAAATCAATAAAATTTAATTTAATTTAATTTAATTTAATTTAATTTATATTTAAATTAAAAATTAAAAATTAATAATATTATATAATACCTAAAAAAAATTCCATTCAATTCAATCTAATTCAATGACAGAGTCGGCCACTGCTCAGTTTGACTTATTTTGGTAGTTTCCGAAGCCTTTTCAACGTCTGCTTTATTTAGCCGTCGAATTACGGAAGTCTTCAGCACCATAAAACCACACCGAAACAGGCTAATAAAACCAGGCGAGAATCTTAGGTCTCACAATTGCTGGAAGAGAGTGGAGACAGCCCAATTTTTCATTGGCTGGTGAAAAGCTTCTTTCTTGCAAGATCATTTGGAAATGCTTCTCAGTAATTAATAGACTTAAATGTGATTGTGACTCCAAACCAATAAAAATCTATGTCAAAACTCTGTACAAAATCTCAAATGCTGTCGTCTTCAAACATGACTGAAAGAGAGAGAAACGTAAATGTAGATCAAACTAGCTGTCCCCAGTTTTCGAAGAATCAAAACAAGACAACCCTAGATGGAAAATCCGGTGTCCGAAAGGGCCAATGGAGAGTTTGACGCAGCAAGCAAGGAGATTGATTTCAATTAAATTGAAAATAATTATAAAAATTATTATAATTATAATAAAAAATTTATATTAAATAAATTTTATTAAAATTAATATTTAAATTTAATTGATAATCCAATGAACTGTTCAGCCATAAATCCAATAGTTTAATTTTAGTGGCACAGCCAACAGCGTATAACCTTTTTTTTTTAATTTAAAATAGATAAATTTTTTAATTTTTTAAATTAAAATAAAATATATTACATTTAATAATTTAAAATAAATAATTATATATTATATATTTAAAATTATTTTAATAAATAATCATCAATAAAATTTAATTATAAAATTTTTTCGTCGAAAAATTATTTGTTCGTGCGTATAACCCTATGCTAGTAGAAATATTGTTCCGAAAAAAACATAGCTAAAGGCGTATTTGCTGCTGCCCATTAGATTGCATTGATGTGTGTGTGTGTGGGTGGAAGGGGGGGTTGGGATTGGATGGGGAAAGTGGGGACAACAAGATCTCCGGGCTGTCCGCCAAAGAGATATCCCCACATGTACCTACCAAACACATTTTATTTAGCTTTGTAGGGTAACCTACCCTAACTCTTTTACTGTTACATAGTGCCCTACAGCGCTCTCCTTCGTAGAGTTTCAATTCCCTATAATAACTCTCCCAGCATTTCTGGTGCCCATCCTGCCCCTGCTAAATCATGAAATTACTACCATTTGGCAGGATTGAAGGATTGCTCATGCTGATGCAGTAACTAAGATTCTTAATGTTTGCACCTTAAGTAATCAATTTAATTAATTGAAACATAGTAGAAATTGAGTGGCTTTTCAGAGACATAGCATGCCTTTAATTAACATCTAAGATATGTTTACTTTGGAATATTTAATCATGCAAGTTGTGGTATTGAAAATATGATAATATTATTCATGTGATAAGAGTGAAAATAAAAACAATAACAACAACATAAACACATGTTCTTTTGGAGAGATGGGTAATCAACAGAAAAAAAAAAAAAAAAGGTCTTGACAACCGAAATAAAATATTGATCCAGGTTGAAACAAAGCCACTTCCATTATTGAATGCATAAACTAATAAAACGACAGCAAAACAGCAATTCTGCCGCCGCTTAAGATAAATTGCGTTGCCTAGATGAGGCTGTCTCGACAACGATTCTTTGTGCTCTGTATATATAGGGTTTTTATTTAAGCCACTTAATTAAGCTTTATTTGTATTCCACAATTATTTCTCTTTTTTTTTTTTAAATGGTTCTTGTTTTGGTTTCAAGGAACGAATATATATATATATATATATGTGGTTCGGATTTTATTAAATAGTGGGTCTGAAATTGTTTGTTTCTAATTGAAATTTGATGTTGTGTTCTTCAATTCTTTGTTGTTTTCTAGGCTTAAACTTTTAACCCTCGAACATGGCTCCAATAAAAATACATAAAGTATAAGCATCATATTTAAGAAATTAAGAGCAAAGTCTTGGGGTAAGAAAAATTAACTATATTTTAGAATATAGATGAGGGACCGGATGATCGTCAAAACCTCATATGAGGAAAATTTTCTACAAAGAAATTTGCCATTATGTCAATCAATTTATAACAACCTATGCGGTACGTACTTAAAATTATTGGTTAATCGTTGACAAAACATTGCCGTAAATAGCAAACACAATCTTGCAAGAAGATTTTGGTGACAAAGAAAATGAAATGCAAAATAGGCAAATAATCCTTGGATCAACATGCAAATTTGCGGAGGGAATGGGATATTCTATATTTGATGTAGATTTCGTTGCCTTATAGCGTAAAAAAATTAAAATCTAAATGTATTAATATTGAACATTTGTTCTTTACCATTTCTGTCAATCTTCGTCAGTGCACCTCACGCTTCTTGATTTGACTTCATATTTCCCTATTAATATTTTGAGAGGGACAATTCAACTTTTACCCATATACGAAAGATATATTTTCTTATATAAGGGTGGTGGCTCTCGTTTAGTTGATAAGAAGGGTGGGGGGGGGGGGGGATGATGCCAAAAGCCCTAAGTCACTGTCCTCAATTGAAGGTATATGCAGGAAATACAAATCCATTGTAAATATATAGTTATATGTAATAGAAATTTGACATTGGCTTGCTTGGTCTGCTTTAATTAACAAAGGATTGTAGTAGAGGCAGGTGATGTGTTGCTATTACTTAGATTTCGCATGTAATTGAGAAAGGGATATTTTGATTAACGTGAAGGGGATGAGAGCTGCCCACAGAATATTGCCATGCAGATTTGAAAGGAACCCTTGATAATTAAACAGTGACAGAGATGGAGAGATATGGCAGCTTGTCAGAGAGCTGTTAATGTTATCTGCAACCCAAAGCCCACCCCCCCTTCATTTTATTTTTTCTGTCTCCTTGCCTTCGTGCCCATTTCCAGACCATAACTATTGATAGGTACAAAATAGTGAAAATAGTGACTGGGAGCATGTTGGGCTAAGGGCAAAGATTTTTAATGTTTTCATCAGTAATTTTCTTTTTTTTTTTTTTTAAATGTAGATTATTTCATTTTCAATGTAAGATTATGATAAATTATTAATTAACAAAAATTTTTAAAATTTACATATTGTTTATCAATAAAAAAATCAAAAGATTTGAATCTAGATACTTTAGATTCAAATCTTAAACTTTAATTTCTTATGTCAACTCTTATAAGCCACTCTTATTAGCCTTCGTAAGTAATTTTGAGTTATAGATAACAAGGATTAATCAATAGCTGCATGTGGCCCCTTAATTACTTGGTTAATTTCTCTTTTCAACTCTTGACTTGCAAGGCAATTCTCAAATCATTTTGATTAGCTTGGACCCAATAAACCTACTAATGAACATATTCTCAACATTTATAGATTATATGGATAATATTAAACAATGTTTAAATATTAATCACAAAATACCAAAGTTCTTGGAATACATTGATATAAGGATTACCTAATTAAGATTAAAAAAAATGACATTATAATTACAACATTAATCAAACTTGGTCTTTAGCCTTTTTTTTTTTTTTACAAAAATATTGCAATATAAGGTAAAGAAAACTATTATAAGTGTTAAAATTTAAATTTTAAAATTATTATATATCACCTTTTTAAAATAATATATAAATAAATTGAGTTAAATCAAAATTTTTAATTTTTATTTCGATAATTGAAGATTATTGTTTCATAAGGTAGCTTTGAACACCACACAAACAAAATCATCTAAGGTCGGTAACCCAATCCATCTTCGGCGGGTTCCGACTCAACCCGACATCATATGATTTTTATTTTTTTTTAAATCAAATTTCGAGTCGGATTGGATAAAGATAATTAAAAAAATCGAGATCGAATTAGGTTTGGGTTTCAGGCAAATCTAATCTTACACGATCTGATATTATATAAATTTTTTTTTAATTATATATTTAAAAATAATATTTTATTAATTTCGAATCTAATCGAATCATATACAGTTTATATAATATCAAATCAAGGTAGGTTCAAGTATGAAAAAAAAAATTGAATCAGGTTTGAGTTTGATGAATATCAAATCGAATAAGATTCAGAACAAATAAAAATTTGTCATTATCTGATCCGTTGTCAACTCTAAAATCATCTGTCTTTTAACTCATTCTATAACTACTTACAATACATACCTTATAAATCTTCTCTCAAATAGCTGTCAAATTAAATGTGGAAAAAAAAAATCAGATTATAGATTAAATGGTAGATGTAGTTGATAGACAAAAAGTTCAGAAAAGCAATTGTCTCCCCACAACAGCAGATGTTGAAATTTTCATTATTCACTTAACTGAGCTGGTCCACTTAACAAACTATATGTCAAAAAAGATCTGGCGTATAAGGTATGACAAACAAGTGCCCAAAAGTTTTTAAGTCTTACAAATTTTTTTTTTTCCTTTGGGTCAAGAAATTGTATGCATCTTCAAGATTCAACAGCTGGTTATCAGTCTCTTTCTGTCCCTCTCCTTACTTTTCTTGAATTTCATTGATCAATAGCTTTTTAGGCATTTATACGGTGAACAGACTTGGATTACATTTGTTATTAGCTTGGAAGAAATGGCAGATACGCATAAAAAATTCAAAAGAAAAGAAAAAAGAATGATAGAGACTTTTTTTTCAAGAAAAAATTAAAGATAAATATATTGTTTAATTTTTTGAGTCAAGATGAGATATATCTAACTAATAATCTAAAAAATACTATTTATAATTTGAATATTTGAGATAATTTTAATAAAATATTATTAATTATATTCAAATTTAAAATCAATTATCTCGATAAAAATGATCCTGTTAATTGAATCAATCTCGTATTAATGAATGATGGAGACTTATTTAGTAGGAGTCAAAGCTAAATTCTAAGGTGGGAAAGTGAGTACTGGCTTAATTTTTGCATGGGATAGGAGAACTAATTATAAAGTTATATTATACGAAATAATAGTATCACCAATGCACAAAATGAAAGTTTAATAAAAAAGCTTCTGGTTTAAGTGATTTGAGTTCAAGTTATATGTGCATATATAGTATAAATTAAGATTCATGTCACTTCTATGGTATTGTGTCAAAGGTAAGAAGGCTATCAGGTTTGGTAAGGAAGGCAATATAGAGTTGTATTTCCATATATTCTAGTCAACATTCATACATAAATTTTTTTCCCTCATAACAATGATTTCTATCTTTTTTTTTTTTGGTAAGGAGGATTTTTTTCTTAAATAAACGCACATTATTATGTTTCCCACATAAAAAATAGTCTGAAAATAAAAAATAAATTATAAATAGTAAAATTTTAATTTTAAATATATTAAATATTATATTTTCAAAATGATTATAAGAATCAATTGATATCAAATATTTTTATCAAAAAATAAAAATTAAATTTGACGATTCGTGTATTCATATTATGTAAAATATTAAAATTTATATATTTATATAATATTTTATATGAAAATCACATGTTATAATTTTTATCGACACAAAAATATAAAACATATTTTTTGGGTTTTATTAAACTTGTGTATATATTATTAAAATTTTAAATAATGTCATTTTTATATTTTTTTTAATTTTATTATATTTGTATCATATTATTATATTATTTTTTAAATTACCAGATCCAATAAAAGTTTTATAATTATCAAATAATTGTATCTATTGGTGAATAATTAACATAAGATGCCAAGTTAAAGGATTTTAATTAAGCGACAAAATAAAACATTAGCCAATATATAAATAAGTACAAAGGAGGACAAGATTGAAGATACGAGGAAAGGTAGAGAAATAAACGTAATTTACCCCAGTCGAGAAGAGCGCCAAACACATCCAACGGCAAGCCGCGGCCACAACTTTTAACACTTGAAAGCTAAAACCCAAAAACAATGGCAAATGAACAAGACAGGATTTTTACATGGAAAGACAGGGAAATCAGTCAGAGAAAAAGAAGTGAATAAAAAAAAAAAACCTGCAAATAAAGGAAAGGGGAAAAGAGAAGGGGGCCTCGTGGTTCTACTTTTTGTTCTTTACCCCTTTTTTACACAACCAATCTCTCAGTCTCTCTTGCTTGTATAAGCAAAGATTTCTCCCCTCTCCCACTCTTTCTCTCTCCGTATTTTTTGTGCAGAGAGCCCCCTCCTCTCTCCCTGTTTTTTACCTCACCAACAAATTAAATATCCTCTTCTTATAAATACCCGCTTTTTTTCTCTATCTTTTCTTCATTTTAAGGGTGTGTTTGTGTTTGGGAGGTGAGAAATATCAAAGAAACATAGGGAGCGAGGGAGACAAGAGAAAGGGATTTGTTTTGCTTGCCTGGTGGTGCTGTATCTTTCTCTTTACTTACAAGGTATAAAGAGAGGGAGGAATAAGATTGACTAGATATAGAAATAGATAGGTAGATAGATTATACATAAAAACAATAGACAATGTCGGCTCACAGAGACACAGATCCCCGTATCCATGGCATTCAATCCAAGATTCGTGTTGTCCCCAATTTCCCCAAACCAGGTTCCTCTGTTTCTTATTTCCATATTCGTGTTGTTCATAAAAAAGGTTTTTTGGTCTCTTTGTGTTCTGTCATGAACTCTGTTTTCGTTGGGGGGGTTTACTCTCCATGTTGCTATAAAAATGTGAATAAATGAATAAAAGGTTTGAAACCCAGAAATTTTCCAGTGCTTGGAATCATAGAAACAAACATAGAGACTGAAACTTTATTGATCTTGATATGACTTATCTAACAATTCAAACTGGGGTATTTGTCACTTTGAAAGAAAGTTCTACGATTCATCAGATTAGTTCCATGTTATCTTTGTTTGTTATGTAAGATTGTAAATATGGTTTTATTAATGGTGGAAATGGCAGGTATAATGTTTCAGGACATAACTACGCTGTTACTGGATCCTAAAGCATTCAAGGACACAGTGGATTTGTTCGTAGAGAGATACAAAGGGAAGGATATTTCAGTTGTTGCAGGTGAAAAGAAATTTAAGAAGGATAAAGAAAATATATTTTTTAAATGGTAGTATTTTTTATTTTGTAACTATTATGGTTCTTGATGTGCTAAAGATTTGATCCAAAACTTTGTAAGAACCTTTTTATCACTCTTTGATTACCATCAAGGGGGGTGGGGTCCATGCCTACGAGAAAGTAGCTTCTGTGGAAGCTGGAGTAAAAAGGATATGGCCCTTCAAGTTGCATAAGTTTCTGGTTGTCTTTAGGAATGCTCTTTTTTGGATTATGAATGGAAGTGAGTCTGTTTTTTTCTTTTAGAATTCATTTCTCGTTTGACTATCAACCTTTGCTAGTGGGTTGTGCCATTGATTGCTCCTCTCTCTCTTTAGCTTCTTTTCTTTTCCCCCTTTGAGCGGCTCTCTTTTGTTCTCCTTATCACATTCTTGTTGTTGGCATGTGCTTGGGTTGGGTCTGTTTTGGCTGGATGGTGGTTGGTGATGGATAGGTGGACCCGGATGATGTAAATTGTGATTGGTGCCTCCCTCCTTTTTTTTCGTTATTTTTGTATAGAACCGTAATGTGGATATCTGCTCTGTTACTGTTGGATGGCTTGATGCCATTTGTTTGGGATGCATTCGTTGTTTTCCTTGTATATAATCAATCCTGGAAATTGGACCCCTTAAAGTTAAATAATTAAGTAATTGGAACAGTTTTTTGTCCATTTTCCCTTTTATGGAATGTTGTTTTCCTTCTATCGCCGTTTGCTGATGTAGTTGCCTGAAGTTGTGGAATTGTTGAATGAGATGTGGGACAGATTGATGGATATCAGAACTCGGTTATGGTAATCGAAGCAATTTATATTCCTGTAGCATTTGTCTCAACTGCCTATATTGCTGAATGAAATGATAATGTTGCTGTGTTTTTCTCATGCCTTGTGGCAAAACTCCAAAAATACCAACTGTCACTCCGACGAACTTGGGGCCTTGGTCATTGTTTATTAAAATGAGAAAACTTGTTTAAGCATTTATAATTTATGTGCTTTGTCTTATTACTTGTGTATTAGAATTTGTCTCTTTGTGTGCTAATGTGGACTTAGGTTGTCTTCTTGTTTTTTATGGAAACTTTATGGATGCTTTTGTGGATGTTTTTGTGTTCTCGAATGGAAAGTTGCGGCGTCTACCTCAGCAGATAAGGATAACATCTTATCACTATTCTTGTTAATATTATCCAGTTGGTTAGGTCAAATTCCTAGGTTTCTAATTTTTTTTGTCATGCAAATACGAGGGAGAATGTTGTATTTGATTGCCTTGGAATTTAAACCCCTTCCCAATTGACTGAAGATGGTGTCATTTAAAATCTGATTTGGAATCTATGTCTGAAAAACTTTGCAATAAACTATGTCCAACTAATACTATTCTCGTGTTCAATACAAAAAAAAAAAAAGGTTAAGGAGGCTCTCTTCACTGAAACTGTTTATTTCAAGATTCATATGCTTGTGCATGGACTGAAACTCAACAACAAAGTCTGTCAAGTGGGGGCTGACCATGTTTATACTTAGTTTTGCTATTAGTTGGTTTTACCTTTTATCTACTTGAGCTGGAAGGTCATGTCATGTGGCAGTAAGTTCATCCTAGATTATGACAGAAATGACCTTCTCTAATCTTAATTCTTATATTTTTCAGTTGATGACAGGCTTTTAGTTGTCTACTGTATGGCTTTTCGTTTGGGTTGTAAATGTTTTAGATTTGGTTAGAGGTTGAGGAGGACAAACTAGCCATTGGTTAGAATGCGTTCGTTCATTTTATTTCATGTGAGCTGAGGGGAAAAGGGGGATGAATTTGGAGCAATGCTTGAGCTTTGTATGCTGCTTAAATGGACCTCCAATATGCTTCTTGTGTCATTTAGAATTTTTTCTTTGACTGGCTGGGTAAGGCTGTTTATGAATTCTTTTAAGCAGGTGCAGACATCTGGAGCAGTTATCTATTGCTTTGATATTATCTTTAGTCTTCTGTTACTAGATTTGTCTCTTGTTATGTTCATTCACTTTTACTTACCCATTTTGTATATTCCTGTATCTTGGATTTATATATGAAAAAGCTTGTATCTCAGGTATAGAAGCTCGGGGTTTTATTTTTGGTCCTCCCATTGCATTGGAAATTGGAGCAAAGTTTGTACCTTTAAGAAAACCAAAGAAGTTGCCTGGTAATTCTCATCATTCTGTACTATTTTCTCAGTTTGCAGTCATGCACAAGAAAATTTCATAATTCTGTTATATATAATATATATACACACACACACACATGTATTTGTATATATGGCATGCTTGTTAATTGCCTACCTTATTGGTAATGTTGCAAAGTCTGCTGTTATTGTTGCTTGATGTGTTGTTTGTATTTTATTGTTATAATAGAGAGTTCATGCTCAGTGACAAAAATGCAACCCGGTTGATATTTGATGGACTAAAATTGCTGATGAAGTCAGGGAGATCATTTGTGCATGTTTGCCAGAGTTGTCTCTCTCTAACATGATGACATAATCTATTGTCTATTATTCTATTTGTATTATAGCTTTGTTTATTTCTTGTTCTTTTGTATTTTTGTAATTTTCTGATTACATTCATTATAATGCCATATCATTTGAGGATGTTCTAAAAGATGTTGACTCTTATATTTATTACTTATATTCATGCTTCCTAAAAATATCAAATCCTGAGGTTATTAAGGCTAAAACTTATATTTTATTTGTTTTTTTTTTCCAAATATTGGCAATGGTGTCAGGTAAAGTTATCTCAGAAGAGTATGTACTGGAATATGGAAGGGATTGTCTTGAGATGCATGTTGGAGCTGTTGAACCTGGTGAGCGGGCCTTGGTTGTTGATGACCTGATAGCAACTGGAGGCACTCTTTGTGCTGCTATGAAATTACTGGGTAATTTTATTTTGTGTTATCTTTGTGTTTTCAGTAGTATTCTATTGGCAAATTACACTAATTTTCATGTCCAAGGTAAGAAAGATGATATATGATCTCTGATCTATTGCATGGGTCTTCACTCTAGTTTTCTACATTTTTTTATTGGGCATTCTTGAATTGTAGATAGCATGTCTCTTTCTTATTACTGAATCATTCACAAAAATTGTATGTTTTCAGAACGGGTTGGAGCAGATGTAGTTGAATGTGCTTGTGTAATCGAGTTACCTGATTTAAAGGTATATATTTTATTACCAATCTTAGCTAATTCCTGTACTCCTGCACATAGCTTCGCCTACACAAATGCATAAAGTGCATACAAAAAAACACACAACTGCATGGATTTTGTGAAGTGTGAAGCACAAATACATTCAACAATTGATTGACGATCAGAAGTAGAAGGAATTTTCCAGAATGTACCCCCTGGTTTTGAATGTTTGAACTGCCTTTACTAATTTTTCTATTGTTATAGGTTTCTAAATAACTTTGCAGTACATCCAAAGTGATGATCCAGATTACATAATGAACCTGTGAATGTGCAAATATTAACATTAGTATTGTTAGAAGGCATGCAATCGGTTAGCAACGTAGCCCTTGAATATTGAAGTATAGGTGGAACCTTAGCTGCAGAAGAGTTAAATCACTCCTTAAATTATGGCATATATATTTGGATCCTGTCTTTTTATTCAGACTAGTTGACTACTTTGCCAAGTAGCCAAATGTCAAAATGTTGTTCATGAGTGAGAGTCTATAAGGATAGAGAATATGTTTAACTGTATAGCTTCTTGATCGGCATAATTATACCTTGGGCTAATCCATATATGTTGGGTCGGGATATCTCTCTACTTATGATCTGTTAGTTGCTTTTTTAGTTTTGGCACTCAATCGGTGAACCCTTTTAAGTAAACATCTTTAAATTTGGCAAATTTTGCAGGGTCGAGAACGCTTGAATGGCAAGCCATTATATGTGCTTGTGGAGTCCCATTGATCCTTGCTGATGATACAGTTTGCTCGAAACGGTGCTAGCATAACGAGATGTACATTAGAGTACACCATCGATCGCTACCTTTCGTCTGGAATCTACTTCTGGTTTTTTACCTGAACTCTCTTCATACATTAGTAAATTTTGATAGGCCTTGGGATTGAGACCTTTGTTTCAACTAGCAGCACAGAATCAATGAATTTATGCGAATGCTTGTAAGATTTTTCTTTCTTTTTTTAATTTAAGAAATGAATTATATAAATCCATTCTGCCTTTCTGTGAATATATTGTTTGTCATGATGGATGGTTACTTCAACTTACATCTTGCGTTGATCATGGATGAAACCGACTAGTAAAAGAATAAATGTGATGGACGAAACCTGCATTGGATGCCAAACAATGCTGGATTTATCAGATCTAAGGACATGCTTAGGTTGCGTGTCTTTACCAGGATTCAACTACTGATACTGTCACCTTAGCTGTTGATATAATGATATGCTTTCCTTCTACCAAACAGAGGAAATGGTGGACTGTTTACCACCTATCATCAACCTTTCATTTTCTCCCCCAAGGGAAGTAAATGCATGAAGAACAAAGTAGGTGGGACTTGCGGTAAGTTTTTGTCAGTTTCATTCCTGAAAATGCCAGCATTGAATGTTGCATGTTGGGGGATTTTATTCTGGGTTTCTCTGTTTCAATGTATAACGTTTCTGGTCGAAATCAGCAGCCAAACTGAGCGACTATTCTTCGACCTGGCGATATCCATGATAGACTCTGATACCTCTGCAAATATTAGTAGAGATCTCTGTTCGACTTGTTAATCATTCTCTGATTATACTGCTTCTGGGTTTCAGAATCAGATAAAAACATAAACCAGTACAGATTAACAACAAAATCGAAAAGGGTATTAGTGCAATTGTTCCTAAACTAAAGTAAAAATAAATTTTTAATATGATTTAAAATTATAAATATGTTACTTAATATGATTCTGTAATTAACTTGAATAAAAAACACATCATAAATAAATAATTTTTTAAATATCACAAAAAAATCCATTTTGTCACGTTCAGAATAATCGGCATCCAATTATAGATCCCCATAAATTCTCGGGTCCTAATCATCATTAAAAGATTGAATGCTCTTTTTTTTCTTGATCAAGAATTTTCAAGCATTATCAACACACCAGAACTATTGGTGAGTACCTGTTGGCCTAACAATGGCTGCTTGAACCAAGCTGAAAATTCTATTCCAAACTTCCACAACTACCGTGGTTAGTACCTAATTGGCATCCAAATCAAGTCCGTTAATTAATCAATTTTCTTCATCCTTCAGATCAACAAGTTAGAAAATCCCACCAAACGACAAAATGGTCTAAGTAGTGAACAGCACTTTAATTCAAAATCCCATTACACGAGAAAGAGCAAACGCCAAACGGTATATTTGGGTGAGTTAATGAGTTAACAACAATTTAAGTACAAGAGAAAAGCAAACGGTTGTTTAAGTTCAAACTTGATCAATTAGCATTTATCAACCCAATTATTTTTACTAATAATAATCACAGGAAAATTAAAAAAATAAAACCCCAAAAAGAAAGAAACAAAAATTGTGTTGGTAAATGCAGCAAAGACGATGCACCCTTTAAAAAAAAAAGCAGAAAAAAAGTGTTTTTTAAATATTTTTATAATTTGTAGATGACAAGAAAGCAAGGCAACACAGCACGTGGATCAAACACGAGCAACTCGCCGCTGTTCCCACTCACTGAGTCATACCCAACTCGCCCATCCTGCAACGACTTGTATACGAATCCCACCCGTTTTGAGACTCGACCCGCAATAACCCTGCAAACCAACATCGCCCTCCTCCCCCACCCACCTCCCGCATTCACGTGAGCTCCACCGCTCCCGGAATACGTGCATATGGCCGCACCTTTCCGCCCGGATAATAGCCACGTGTCGTTCATCCCGCAGTTCCCTGAAGTCGGACCCAAACAATGGAACCGCATGACCTCGTTCCCGTCCGCGACGCACCTCGCGTTTTCTTCGTCAGCAGAAGCAGGACCACCCGACCCAGACCGAGTCTTGACAGTCTCTCGATACTCCTCGAACCGAGTCACTGTCCTCGGCCCATTTTGAACTTTAAAAATCATCTCGATAAGACCCGTGAAAGCCTTGGGGCCCCAACTCGTATGAAAAATAATCTCCACGACATTCCTCGAAGGGTGACCCTCGGGCAGCTCGGTCAGCGCTGGCAGGACAGGGTCAGGGTTCCGAACGGGAAGTGCAGGGGCAGAACAACTCCGGCGATGCCGAGGCGGAGGATAATTCAAATCGGGGGCGGGTTTACTGCTGGCCGTCGGAAGCAGTTTCGGGTTGGATTTCTTGGACTGTTTTTTGGTCGTTTCGATGACGTCTTTGATGCTCTGAGAACCTCGTCTACAACTGGAACTGGGTATGAAATGCTTCGGGCTCGGGTGATAAACATCTTCGAATGCTCTCGATTTGCATTGCAATGATTTGACCCACCCGCTTGCCATACTCGGATCCCTTTTTAGCCAAAGAATCTAGCAAATATCGATCTCTTTTTCTTTTTATATCTTTCTAAAACATTGTTTTCAGTTTTGTTTGGTTTGAAGCCTTCATTTTTATTTGTGTGTCTCGGAGGGGTTTTGGGTCGAGGTAAAGAGGGAAAGAATGGGAAAGAGGGAACATGGCGGAATAATAAAACGAGGATTTGTGTAGTGAAGGTTGTAATTTGGAATGACGAAAATGACCTTATGAAACTACGTAGAGAGACTAATGCTCTTTATTATCACTACCACGTGGATTCTTAGGAAGTTTTCGCTTCGTTGGAAAAACAAAGATTCATTAATGAGGAAAAGCAACGTGACAACAGAAATTTGATGTTTTTTTTAAGTTAAGATTGGGATATAGGATTTTATGAAAAATATTTTTCATTGTAAAACAGTTTTTTTTTTTAAATGGTATTAAAATTAATTAAATGGGTTTATTTTGCCCTTTAAGAATATTTAATGTAGGTAATATGCCCTCATTAACCATGAAAACCAATGAAATTCCCTTAACTTTCTTAATAAAAATTAAAAAAAGAAAACTGTCTTGACATTTAAAATTTACTAGCTACCTCTATTCTTATTCTTTATCCATCATAAAGGGTAATAAATGAAAAGCATGCAGGATTTTGCTGTCTATGTCCTATAGCTTTTCAATGACTACTGAATGAATAAACAGCAATTTTTGTTGAAAGGGATTGGTGAGTAAGGTTGCATTTTTTTTTCAGCATATAATGTTGCCATGACTTTCACTTGCCACACTTTTTCATGGGGTCACCTAGAGTTAAGATTCAAGATCCATAGTTTGGTGTTCCTTGTCCAGTTACAGTTTCCAAAAACTAGAGACATGGTTCATTTACAATGGTTTTCATGTTTTTTAAAGTAATTTATAATAGTAACTTAATTAGAGAGAAAATTTGAAGTTTAATTTAATTATTTTATATAATTATTTTTAAAAAATAGTATTTAACGGATTAAAATATAAATTTTTATAATTTAAAAAAAATAGAGAGAGAGAGAGAGTTGGGCACCAGTTCAGCACTTAATTCCATCAAACGTATAAAGTCGAGTTATTTTCTAATGAATGCCTTGCTTCCAATAGGCTTTCTTGACTTTAAGTTGCTTCTTCAAATCAAGAAACATTAACTTTTGTACACAGTGTTCTTGGTGAGCTTGAGGTTTCAATGGAACTGAAAGCCAGTGGACCTTGGCTTTCACTTCTATTCTCTGACTGTAAGTTTGACACATGGAGTGATATTAGTAAGTACTCTGTCCCACTGTTACTTGACTTCTAACCTACCGGGTTTCCCTCTCCAACCATCTTTCCTATGCTCATTTCTTTATGACAATAATATTTCTAATTACCCAACCAATGTTTTTCCCTTAACAGTAGCTGTAAATTGGAACTAAAAAAACTTCATACGGATTTTCTTTTTGAAATTCTTAGTTTACCCTTTTAACTCCCGTATCTTATTATTTATCTTTCTTAACAAAATATTATATTTATAAGCTTTTTTGATCCTATAATTTTTAAGTATCAATTTTAATAATATATCAATTCATATAAAAGATGATCGATAGTTTTATATTAGAGATGTTAATTTTATTCATATTTAATAAAAATTTTAATTTTTTATTTAAATAGGGATAAAAATAAGTATTATATTATGAGTATGAAGATATATATGTATATGATTTTAAATTTTTATTAAATATAAAGATAAAAATATGTTACATAGTATCCGCTCTGTATCCGTATCCTATATATATTTATATATATAATAAATAGTTTTTTTTATTAAATAATATAAATTATTATTTTAGAATAATTAAAATTAATATATTTTTATTAAAAAATATATTAATATATATTTATAAAAAATTAGCAAAATATACAAAACAAAAACTAAAAAAAAAGTTAAAAAATAAATTTTTATTTTTATTTTTTTCAAAAGCTACAAGTATATGAATTATTTATACTCATTAAATATCCGTATGAATAAAAATAAAAATAAATTTAAAATATTCATTAAATATGAGTTTGAAAATAAATATAATAAAAAATTCAAGAATGAGAATAAAAATATTTTACCCTGTTTCATACCTTAACCATTGACATTCATAGTTAGAATTTAGCTTTTTTTTGTCTTGCATTATATTTTATCAAAATTTCCCAATGATCCCAATTTGGACTTTGCCACTGGCCAATTGACGCACCCAATACTTAGGGACACTTCAGGAATTACATACCAAACCCTAAATTATTAATTTCCCACCTTAATTCCAGGATATATGGGGAGGGATTCTTTTTATAGGAGTCTGAATTTGAAGAGAAAACAGACTGGAATAGAAAGGAATAGCAAGACAATGGAAACTGGCAGAGACAAAGCAGGTTGAAAAAGCATTGTAATTTAAACTTACAAAACGACAACTTTTTTTCTCCTTTACGCTTTTCCTTTTTTTTTTTGGCAGCGAGTCTCTCTACTTCAGAAAGTTTGGTGCTGCCCATGGGATAATGGCTCTTACTTACGAAGGGAGGGGACAGCGTTGAGATTTGAATATCGTTTATTTCTTCAATTATTACTTATTTTTATCAAAATTAAAATTTTAATATTTTACGAACAAATCACATTATCTTTTATTATTATTAATTTCGACTCTCGAACGTAATCTAACGAGTCTTATTTTCTATTACGACCGTCGACTGAGCAGATGCCACATTTTTCCAGGAATGAACGCATGGATTCGTGGGGATTATCACGAAATTTTGACGTGAGTTAATAAGAATAACAAAATCTTAATAAAAAAAAAGTCTTGAATCTTTTATGATGAGGATTTGATCTGATTTTTGTACCCGAAGGTCAGGTAAGTAACAATATGGAAATGACTCAAGAATCAAGTCCCTCCCCTTGCTCATCTCTATATTATTTTTGTTTGGTCTTTTTTTTTTTTTTTTAACATTAGAAATTTCATTTCACTTCGTATGTCTTATTAAGGAAAATTCAAATCCGAAACTTTCCATATAAAATTTCAAATTTTTACGATTGGACTGTACCCTTCTATGTTATTTTGTTAATTGTTTTATCACTAATTCAGCATTACCCTTAAGGCAGCCTTTTGGACTTACGAGCTGGAGCCCAACTATGTTCTTTGGACCACAGTGGGCTGGCCAAGAGATATTAGGCTCAAAATAAAACACTAGAGGCCTAATGTGGCCCATGTAGTCTTATAAGGCACGTTTATGTATACGGCCCATATTAATGGCTCACATTAGTTAAGCGGCACCGTTTCGATTTACTGACTCAGCCTTCTCATCCAATCAGATCAACCAAGTAATCATATCAAACATTCCCTTTAACTGTAAACTTTAACTGTAAACTGTCGTTTCTGAGTTGGCCCCATCACAAGCCTCCAACCACCTCGGCATCCGCTACCGCGGCGGACCCCCACCACCAATGGGTTCACCATCGAAAACAGCCACCCTATCATCGCCACCATTCCTCCATCCCCTAATAACCCTAGACTCCACCGTCTCTTACTTCCTCCACACACTATTCAAACCCATTCTTCCAACTTTCCTCCTCCTCCTACTCGAATAGTCCGCCGATTTCCGCTTTTCGTTCCCTCTTTCCCTCTCTCTCTTCCTCGCTTCCCCTTTCTTTTCCTCTTTCTCCGTCCATCTCGTCCTCGGCCTCCTCCTCGACCTTGCTTTGATCGGCCTCATCAAACTAACCTTCCGCCATGCCCGTCCTCATTACAATCCCAGCATGTCCCCCGCTGTTCACGCCGACAACTTCTCCTTCCCAAGTGGCCACGCTTCACGTGTTCTATTTTTAGCTACTCTCTTCCACCTTATTCTCCGAAATGACATGGGACTTGTTTCGGATTTTATTCAACGATGGTTTAAATTTGAACCCGGTTTTGTTCTTTTTGGTATATGGGTTTGGGCTACAATGACTGCTACTTCAAGGGTTTTGCTTGGAAGGCATTTCCTTTTTGACGTTTTGGCTGGGGCGTTCGTTGGGGTGCTTGAAGGGATTGTTGCCTTTCGGTTTTTGAAGTTTTAGGCAGCGTTCTCAAAGGTAAGAGGTTAAGTATTGTTGCAAAAATTTGTACTTCTTTTAAACGGGGAATTGTTTTTCTTTGTAATATTTGATGTGAAAGTTGTTGATGATTCAATATCAAACAATGTATTTTATGATAATCACATTATGGATTGATTTCAAAACTTTGTTTTGATGTACAACTTAGAAGCTTGAGAAATGTTTGTGCAATAATTTTTCTATTGCTGTCATTTAGCATTGCATTGAGTGAGTGGCTACATTCATCAGTCAGCTTTATGAATGAGTTTTAGCATGTCTTTGTTGGCATATTTTCTAACCAATGTCACGCTTTATGGTATTTATAGTGATTGAATGGGGAAGGTAGTTCTATCTATAAACAGAACGTTGCTTGTTGTTAACTGAATGAAGTTTGATTGCCAAATTCTTCATGTGTATCAAGCTGTTCATGATCCTGCATTTTATTTGAGTTCAGAGAGTTGGAGTTTGATTATTCCTATAAAATCAGTGACCTTCTTTTGATAGAGAAGCTTTTGCATTAAGTTATCAACCATTAGAAATCACGATTCTAGTTATAAGTGTGCATGTTATTCATATTTTTTTGTGACATGAAGGATTTGGTTGTAAGGAGTTAAATCAGTTTGAACTAGTATTTTTTACTCCAATACTTTGGTTAACAAGGCAAATATATTTTTATAGAGTAATTGGTATCTGCTCTTGGTAACTAGAGACTTAGTTAAACATGATTATTGTCCCTCTAAGATCATTTTTTAAAGCCAATGATATATGCATGCTGGAAGGTATTTGATCTATATTTCAGTTGCTTCATTGATTTGGCCAATGTAGTGGCGTTTTGTCCTCCACCTCTTGGCCAAGTAGGCTCTGAGAGGACACCGAGTCCTGGTTTCGAGTCAGGACCTCCCCCTTTCCCCTAAGGGCTATGCCTTCCTAAGGACCAAAAAAAAAAAATGTAGTGGCATTTTTGACATAAACTGGATGACCATCATTTCAGCAATGAAGTGTACGTTTACGACTCCATTTTTTATTTGTTGAAAATTATTTAAAACCGATTACTTGAATTTCCTCATTTCTT